CCCAGAGAATTCTGTGGCTGAATTTGCACATGTCAAGCTTGCCTAGAGCTACCCATGGTTTACTCTAACCAATTTCTCAGAACTTTTAACAAGTAGAACTGGGTGCATACCATATGCCAGCAGATTTAAGAGCTGCTTGGCTAACTTGCAGTCCAATACATTTTGTGACACAGCCAAGATGGTTTAGACTAGAGTACTTCCAAATACTCTGTAAATATGGACGCAGAGGGCTGCTACATCCCCAGTCACCTTTTGAAGTGTTGGAAGTTATGATTCACACTTCTCCTAGGAAAAGAAAAAGAAATTTAAAAATATTAAAAGGGCAGGAAAATTCCCCTAAAAGAAAATAGAAGCAGAAACTCAGGCAGAGATTCAGCCCCCACTTTTGTCAATGGGGCATTAAGAAGCTGAAGCCACTCTATTTTCCACAACAAAGGAAGGACAAAATTACAGCAGCCTGCAACATCCAAACAGGCATGGGACACAGAAAAAAGCAAACACCCAAAAAGAAAAAAATAAAGCCAAAGTAATTAGAATTTTAAACACATGAGAAAAGAAGATATTCACTAAAACACAGTAATAGCAAACTGATTAATTATAGGGAACGAACAAGGGCTAGGAAAAACAGAGTTTGGACTATAAAACAATTACTTATTTGCCAGATCCAGGACGGAAGACCCCAATCACAAAAAGCAGGATTTGAACACCACAAAACAATCACACACACACACATCAAAGAATTCACATGCCAAATCAAAAGAATTTCAAAAGACTTTAAAGGGTCACATACAAAATCAAAAGACTTTTTAAGATATAAAAAAGGGCTTTTCTTACAGTTCAAACAGGCTAGCCTCGGAACGCTGTGCATGTTTTTGTTTCTTGCCTGCTTTCCTATAACAATAAACTAATCTGACTAACTAATTGACCTCCAATCATTTCGAAGTAATCTCCCAGCCGGGAGTTTTTAATTTGAAAAGGGAAAACTCTGCCTTCCAACAATCCTTAAAGGGAAAGGCTTCTTTTTCTTTCAACAGAAGGAAAAAAAACAATCCAGTTGCCTTTCGAAGAAAAAAGCACATTTGAGACATCTATAACTGAGAAGCTCCACAGACAGTTCCGTCGCCCCCCCCCCCAATAAATATAATTCGGATGTCATAATTGTCATCAAATTACCACGCCAAACCAATCCTGAACATATTTGAGCCTTACCAAAAGAATTTATCTTTTAGGAAATGATTGCAAAACTAATTCAATCAGAAACGAGTGTCATTAACACTCGTTTCCTAATAAATGGCCGCTGAATAGGAGGTACAGAATCCAATGGGATGTATATAATTCCGGACGGAGAAGCTCCATTTAGGGCTTTCTTTCCAATAATCGCTGCCGTCACGTCCCGTGCACAGATATATACCCAATTTACCAGATTCTCCATTTGTGCTTTTAGGTCCTGCTTTCGCTGCAGCGGGAGAAGCAGCTCGATCCCGACCTCTTACCGTCCTCCACCGCGATTCCCGCCTCCTAAACTTGAAATGGCGCTAAAATTATCGGTAGCTCTTTAAAGGGACAATGCCGACAAAGGAACTCGCTCACAAGTGGCTCATTGCTGAGACAAGCCCATCGAAATAAATCCCGTTCCTTGCCCGGGAAGATCTTATAAGGAAGGCTTTGCAGGTAGACCAGCCGCTGACTGGCTGTGCTGACACGCCAAGCCTTTGCTAAATAAATCACAATTCGCAATGGTCACACAACCCATTAAACCATAGTTTATAAAGCAGAATGACTTCGTTCCTTCGAAGCGCTAAATCACAAGCAGAATTGCAGTATGATTGATTGATCTATCTATCTATCTATCTATCTATCTATCTATCAATCTATCTATCTAGGTTCAAGGTACAATCTGTGCAAAGCTTCTAAGAATCCAGGGAACTGAATTAATTCCACTATATTTTTTTTGCCCATCCGAATCGTTCTTCTGATGGTTTAATTGGCCCACGTCGTGACAGTTTTTAGCTGCACGTTCCAGATTGTAGTTGCAATCCTTGATGCCTTTATATAAAAATACAGCAAAACTGACTCCCCTATTGCTCATGGATTTTTTTTTTTTTTTTTTTGGCCCCACATTTCCACTTCGGCTGTGGCATCGCCTTTTTAAGCGAAAGCTATTCTCAGCCGTTCAATGGGTGGAGCAAACTAAGACCGGGAAGTTCATACACATACAGTGTTCCAAGCCGTAAAGCCCTCCCCGCGGGCCGTTCTTGTATTACAATACTTGCTTATTTTGCATATTGTATTACAGTAGATGCTTATTTAGCGTATTGCAATCCTTGCTTATTTTCCATACTAGCAAACAGAGAAGAGTGACTAAGATGATCAAAAGCCTGGGGACTAAAACGAAGAAAGCTGCAGGATTTAGTCTTGGCTAGTCTAAAGAAAAGAAGAATTAGGGGTGATAGTGACATGATAGCAGTATTCCAGTATTTGAGGGGCTGCCACAAAGGGGGTCAAATTATTCTCCAAAGCATGGGAGGACAGGACAAGAAACAATGATTGGAAACTAATCAAAGAAAGAAGCAACCTGGAATTAAGGAGAAACTTCCTAACAGTGAAGACAATTAACCAGTGGAACAGCTTGCCTTCAGAAATCGTGGGCGCTCCATCGCTGGATGTTTTTAAGAAGAAACTAGACAGTCACTTATCTGAAATAGTATATGTTTTCCTGCTTGAGCAGGGGGCTGGATTGGAGGACCTCCAAGGTCCCTTCCAGCTTTATTCTAATTTATTGAGATAGATGCAAAGCCATTGGAGACAGGTGCAGACTACTAACAACAGCTTGAGGCACTAGAAGTATGAATTGCCTTCTAATCCTATTGAATCATCATAAATGAATGCTAAAACCAATTAGTGGAATGTTATTTGTAACTTGAAAGAAGGTTGTTGGAGGACAAAGAAATGTATGGCAACAGGCAGAATCTTAAAGAGGCATGTGTTCACCCTTTCTTCAAGAAGCCATTACTAGATTCAACCATACTGGAAAACTTTCACCCAGTATCTGACGTTCCCTTTTTAAGGAGGGTTGTTGAGAAAATGATCATGCCATAGCTTCAGAAGATCCTGACTAAAACAGATTTTCTGGGCCCCTTCCAGTCAGGTTTCAGATTTGCGTATAGGTCTGAAACAGTGCTGATCATGCTTGTTGATTATCTCTGGCATGATTGGTATGATGACAGTGCATCCATCCTTGCTCATCTTGATCTCTTGATGGCTTTCAATGTCATTGATCATCATATACTTCTGAAGCAGCTTTGGGAGCTGGGGGTGAAAGATATTGTATTGTGTTGATTTTCTTTCTTGGATGGCTATTTCCAATTGATTTTCCTTGGGAATAATAAATCTCACCCTCAACCCTACTTTGCGGGGTTCTACAGGGTTTGGTTCTCTCTTTGCTTGTGTTTAACATCTGCAGGAAGCCTCTGGAGGAGATTATCTGTCATCATGGGGTGAGGTATTAAGTGATGCTGCTGTTGACCTTCGGTCTTGGTCTTTGGAAAGGACTTTGGAGGTATGGTTGGGGAAAACAGGTTTCAGCTCAATCTTCTTAAGGCTTTGGATTTGGGGGCCTTTTGGATTCAGTGACTTTCACCCCTTGTAGGGGGCCACGGGGGCTCACATGGTAAGATGCTGAGCCTGGCACCGCTGAGGTCAGCAGCTCAATTCCCATGAAGCATATAGGGACAGGAAAAGAGCCTCCCCCGATTGCCTGAAAATTCCTTTCACAGAGATAGCCAGCTGTTTCGGTGATCCCTGACTAACACGTGCCATACACTAAAAAAAACCAACAAACCACCACCCCTTGTTCTGGATGCGGTGGCATTGCCCCAAAGAAACCCTGTGTGCAACCAGAGAGTCCTCCTGGACTCTTGAATCCTATGTGAAGAACTTCATGTTGGGCATCAGTTTTGCCTATTTATGGACTGGGAGGCTTTACTCTTGGTCACTCACATTATGGGCACCTCTCAAATGGATTATTGTACAGGTTGTCTTCACTTAATGAGCACTCATTTGGCAACTATATGAAATTATGGTGCTGAATGAAGGGACTTATGACCCATGACTGAAATTATGGCTGTTGCAACTCCCCTACAGTCACGTGATTGCAATCGGAATGCTTGGTAACCAGTTTGCACTTACAGCAGGTTGCCAAGCACCTTGCGATCATGTGATTGCCATGTGCAAACTTTCCTGCCATCTTCTCCAGAAAGTCAATAGGGAAACTGATCAGGAAAGGTTGCAAGCTACTGCTTGCCTGCCCAGAGGACTCTGTCTGGTTCCTGGGGGGCAGGCTGAAAAAGATCCATCACAAAATTCAAGCAGGAAATCTTTCTTCGATTTCAGGAGGCTTTTTCACTCAGCTTCCTTAAGAGCACAGAGGGGTAAAATCCATCCATGATGTGGTGTTTTTGCTTTCAAATAGGCTGGGTGAAAAAGTCCCTTTCTGAGGGACCTGGTTCTGGTTGCCCAGAAACTCCAGCGGGTGCAAAATGGGCAGTTATGTGTGCTCCCTGATCAACGCACACTATACCTCTGTTCTACAAGCTGCATTGGTTGCCAGTTTGCTTCCATGTTCAATTCCAGATGCTGATAATGACCTATAAAGTCCTATATAGCATGTGATTGGTTATTTGATGAACTGCCTCTTCTCAGTTACATCTGGCAAGAGTGGCTTGTCTACCAAGGAGTGTCATCTGACAAGGTCCAGAAAGACTTTTCTGTCATGGTGCCCACCTCTTAAAGGACATATGTCCTGGCTGGCTTTTTGGAAAGGCCTCAGGCTTCAGTTGTGGAGCAGAGCCCTTCAGTGATTATGCTTATATGTTTATACAGCTGCTGCATATGTTTTATGGTTTTTATACAGTTTTATCATAGTTTTATATGCTTTGATGGTTTTTTTTCTATTTTGCTATTTGAAAATATAGTATTCCAATTAACAAGCAGCTAGAAAAGAACAGGAAAGATGGGCTTTATTTATTCTGCCATAATAAAAAGAAAGAAACAAAAGTGATTACATGAATTAAAAGGGATTAGCAATTTTCATGGTAGTGATCCATGTCTTCTAGTGCCACTCAGCCACTGCTGTGGCAATATAAAGCATTGTTGGTATATTGACATTATGCTAGCTAGACCATGCTATACATATCTGGAGTAGAAATGGCCATTTGCCACTCAGACAAAATGGGGTACTTTAGTCAAGTGGATTTGGGAACCAGTATATATATGACATACAAAAATTAGTTTTCCAGCCATAACATCAAACAGGAGACCATAGAAATAGAAGTTAAATGAAGATATCTGTCTTTTATAAAGGCTGATAATCTACCTTGAAGATGCACAGTTATTTAGAGGATAGGGAGATAAACTCATCACTAGAAGAAATCTATAAGTTTTCTTGGTTCATATTTTTCAATGAAGGGGAAGGGAGGGTGAGGGGACGAACGGGCAGGGAACTTTAGCTTTTGAAAATCTAATAGATTCTAAAAAGAAGCAAATGGTCTGACCTACATTCATATCAAAGTTCAGGGGCTAAACATATAACTAAAAAACCCCCACATGATTTTACATATCATACCATGGTTTGTTTAGTTACATGTTTCTGTTGTTTTCTTGTAATGTAGTTAAAAAGCCCTCTGGATTTATTTATATATTTATTTATTTGATTTACCTGACTGAAAAGGGTAGAGATGGATCTCTCCCTCACTACATGAATATACAGACTCAGAATATGTGTATACGTGTGTATATATACTCTCTCACACACATATTATTTTATTATTTACAGCATGTAGCATGCTTCATTAATCTTACACATATAGCTTTTTAAATGTACAATCAATTACAGATAGTCCTTGACTTACAACCACAATTGAGTCCAAAATCTCTGTTGATGAACAAGACATTTAAGTAAGCTTTGCCCCTTTTTACGACCTTTCTCACCAGTTGTTAAGTGAATCAGTGCAGTTGTTAAATTAGTAACACAGTTGTTAAGTAGCTTTCCCTTTGCTTTTCAGAAGGTTGCAAAAAGTGATCATGTGACCCCAAGACACTGCAACCATCATAAATATGAGTCACATGACCATGGGGAATGCTGCAACAGTGGTAAGTGTCAAAAACAGTCATAAGTCGCTTTTTTCAGTGCTGTTGTAACTTTGAACAGTCACTAAATGAACTGTTGTAAATCAGGGACTACATGTATTTTATCATCCTCCCAGCAGACACTATTAAATATACAAGAATAATGTAGTGTAAAGGAACTTGCAGGAGTGCAATGCATGGCAATAATATGGGAATACTATTCATGTATTCATGCAAGGCACACTTTATAATTGCCAAATATAAATATTTCCATGAGAATACATGGAAATTCAAAAGGTTAATAAATAAATAATTGGATGCATTAGAAATAACAATATAAATGAGAATGGAGCATCAAGAAATCTTTCTCATTCCCTTTAGTTCTCTCTTTTTTTTCATTTCATTATATAATATACTTGTGAAAGTTTTTACTGGAGTTTGTCTGGATACACAGCATGGAGGTACTAATGTTTTGTTTGGGACTGTCAATTACTGTTTTTTTTTTTAATCTAGCAAGATGTTATAGATTGAGATCCTTAATGATAGTGGTTAATTTAACTTAATTATATAAAAGTCTTTACAATAATTTTTCTGAACATACAACATGGAATAATGATGTTTTGTTTGCCACTGTCAATTGTGTATTTTTATCCCAGCAACAATTTACAGATTGAGCTGCTTGAACTTGGAGACAGAGATAAAAAATTAGGATTGTCATTTCCTAGGCATATAAATCAAATGGGTAATACATTGAAATTTAATTAAAATGGCCTCTTTTTATATTCTATTTCTTATAAGCCACATGTGTGCATTCAGGACAGAATATAAACTTTACGTGCCTATTTTAAAATACACTTGGCTCTATTTTGCAATAAAACTCAGTCATCCTGGCTTTGAGGCAGCTTTTTATCTTCCAATTTCGAATATAACCGGTATAATGAGAACCCTGCTAGGTAAAAAGTAGGATCTTAATGTAGTATTTTGTTTCTGGAGCCTGCAAACAGCCATGGAAACAATCACTCTCTCTCCGATAACTGTAGTTGCTACTGAAAGAGACATACAGCCAGCTGTACATCAGACAGCAGCCTTGGCTTGCAAATACCAGGGTTGAATAGCTGTTTCTCTGTTCCATTCCATGCAGTGAGGGCACAGTTCCTTTCCTAGTATTTGCTAGTATCAGTCCCGCTAAGGTTTTTTATGTGGAGCAAGAGAGGGAATTATGTTCTCCTTTCACTAATATTCAAAATGTATTTAGTTGACCATATGCAATCATTCTGAAACTTAAAGGTTGAGAAGTGCATAGATCTATTTATAAGTTTAGTTTCCTATACAATTCCATAGTATAACTGTATTAAAGAAGAAAGCAGCACTATATTCAATGTAGGTTTTGGAATTAGTAGAAATCTCTGTATTCTGAAGTCTTTGGGCCGAATAGAGACTTGTGTGATTTAGACATGAATGTATAAAATAATGAATTACTTTTCTGCTTCATGCCATGTCCCTCTTCCTTAATTGTAATCATGTAAATTCGCCAGATTTCTCTGATGCAGAGCTATTAGCAAAAATAAATTATAGCATTTAATTAAATAAATAAATCCCAACACAACAACTAAAGAGTTATTTATACCTGTGAAACAGAAAGTTAAACAGCGCATTGAAAAAGATGAACATCTTGGCATCATGTGGCAGGGTGGGAAAAGCAAGACATAAAAAATAAATTGTCATCTCCTGTAAATAATCTGAATGGAACCATTTCCAACTGCAGTGCAAATCAATCCTAATAAAATGACCCTGTTATAGTAGACAGATTCATCCTGTTTGTGTTGATTTATAACTCAGCTGGATTGATGATGGACCCTGGTGGAGTGATTCCAAGTTAATTCTGTTGACTGACCTTGAATTTACACCATTTTTGTTATAACAGTTATAGTAGAGAGATTGGGGAAAAAAACAATTCACACCAAAATGTCTGAAAATAGGATCTACCTCAAATATTAATACTGCAGAATTCATAAGCATGCCCCAGACATCATTTCAGAAGGAAACATCTGCACTCCTATCACTCACTGTAACCTCCCTCCCCATTTTCCTTTTGAGATATTGGTCAACATTTTTCATTCCAATAGTTTGTCTGTGAAATCTCTTAAATCACATCTACTATTAGAACTGCCTGACCAGTAAATAAACCACTTCGTACTCACATTTTGGCTTTTCTTAATTTGGCCCCCTCCAATATATCGGATTGCAACTCTTAGATCTCAATAAGCCCAATGATATCTGGGAACTTTGGAACTGCACTTCCAACCTATTTGGTTGGAAAAGCTGTTGTTAGAGATAAGGAGCCTAAAAACCAACCCTGCGGTGTAAAATAGATAGTTCATCTAACTACGAGAAAATTTCTGCTGGACCAAACTAGTCGGCATCATATGTACAACATATAGCAACTAGATACTTTGGGTAAGTCCAGAAACAGCATTCAAGGCTCTTACACGGGGGTGGGGGGTGGGGTATACAGTAGGTCTATAAGTGAAGCAAAATGACTCAACCTTCCTCCCATCAGATCTTGGCCTCCTGCTTCAATAGCCAAGAATACATATGCTAATACTAAAAAAAAAAAAAATTATAATAGTTAGATCAGCCAAAAGCTTCCCTCTCCTTAACTCCTTCTAAAAGCCATACTCATTCTTTGTCAGCAAGAATTGGAAGATTGTTGTAATGTGGGCTCCCTAGTGCTTCCTGAGCTTGCCAAGGACTCTACAGTTCAACCCTAAGCTACAAATATTCTCTTCTAATCTTAATCATTTTTTCAACCAAATTTTCTGAACTTTTGAAATAGATACTCCAATAAAGATACCAGATTTCCTGACAAGATGTATATTTTTTAGAAGACCAATAATTTACATGTGGATCTTTTAATATGGTCTGAGTTCATACACTGTACTAAATCATATTGTGGTTACTTTATTTGATGTAGCATGATGTTAGAATCTAGTCATTCTGGTTTATAGCATAGGATGATGTATGAAACCAATCACTGGGCAACAAATTATGCTTTTAAAATACAGCGTAGCCTGCTGAATAAACCAAGCCGTAGAGGAATAAACTTGACTTCCATGGAAGCAAGGTGAGATACAAATGGATGATTACTTTGCATTACTAAACATGCTGATGAGACCAGAGATTAGTTTTGGTTAATGAAGAGGATGGTTTTAGGGGCTCTTGAGTGTATACTGTTTGCATTTGTTAATATGGTGAAGAATGGTAGTTGTTTGCTTTAGTTTGATCAGAGTTTGTGCTGTTTCTTACTTCAAGCATCCGAGCAGAACTTTCAGTTCTAAAAAGTACGTCATCTTTTACAGCTTTATTGAGTCTCCATATTGAGGTCCTAGAGGATTCTACAAAAAAGGACTATTTCCATGCAGTGTCTTCATAGCAAATAAGAAAAGGGATGTGAAATAGTATCAGAGAATATGTTGGAATAGACTATGGTAGCAATGAAAAATGGAGCCCACAACATTTCACAAGTTCTATGTTTATGAAAGGAACTTCACTGAAGCTATATGTATGGCTAAGCCTACAGTTTAAAAGGCAATTCATAAAATGTAGTTTGGATGAGGGGAGGATTATAGAGATTCAGATTCAACATCAACTCTCCTTTGTATTCGATTTATTCTTCTCATCTCTTGCCCTAAGTGTGCCTTTGAGGATGAAGTTGTGGGGCTTGAAAGTTTAATTTCAAATTAGGCTAAACTCAAACTGATGGAATAGTTTCAATCTGCTTAAAATAGAATTCCCATATTATGATAGGCTTGCTGACAATTAGATGGCAGCAGAGAGATACATAAAACCCTTTTGGTACCTTCTGTTGGCTGCCACGATTTCTGCAGTCCAGATATGGCAACCCTATCCTAAAGATAAGCGAGACCATGCCCTAATTCTATTTCACTTCATTTTTTTTAGCACTGAGATAAATTACGTGGGATAGTGAGGAAAATGAAACAGCAGCAGCTTCTGATGGAAAGAAACGACACAAATGTAAACACATCAATAAATATTTTAAATAAAAAGCTAGATACTTCCCCCCTCAGGAAACTTATTTTGATTTAGTGATTGATGTTTGAAATAGGTGTTATAAGATGTTCTTACTTAGACTGCTAAATCCCTACCTGGCATTTTGAATTTTATAGCGGAGCTATTTATTGCGTAGCACAAAAATCCAGAGCTGGCTACTAGCAGCAGGTCCAAGATCAGCACTGAGCATATTGAGGTTACTACCTAAGATGCCAGGAATTGAACTGAGACCTTCTCTATGTAAGCACATGCTTTATTCAGTGATGTTTGTTCCCTGCTGAGGTTCTGGCTCTGGCTCTGCATTTACTTACCCCCAAAATTGTTTCTCACGTACGCACAAGCCAAAATTATATATGTATATATTCTACGTGGCCACAAGTCACTTGCTCTTCCTCACTACTCTCACCATCCTATGTCAATAGATAATCTGAGCATGAGTCCTCCAAGGGGGGGAGCTACTTTGACGAAGGAAAGAATTGTTCCTCCTATTCAAGTCCTCAAACCCACTTGAGCCAAGGGTTCATACCTTGCTGGCACAGCGCACAAAGCTGGAGCCAGAATATTAGGAGCAGCAGGGGAATTGAAAGATGCCAATGGCAAACTCAACAAAGAACTCTAGCAATCCCACACTAAACAATCTGCCTCCCACAACAACTCAGGCGCAGGAGGGAGAGCAGCGAGGTCTGCAAAGGGTGACTCAGCATAATAGATGTGAAGGGAATGCAAGTTTTGCAAGAATTCAAAGCAGAGTTATTCGCTTATACCTTTTGTTTCCCCCCACAAAACTGTTTTTAAGACTTTTCACCGCAAAATAAATCGTTTAAAAACCAGGCAATGACATAGTCCCCCTCCCCGCCCAACTGCACTCTCTGCATTCTATTATCCCGTGTTTTGTGTGTCTGTTACTTTGTTTTTATGAGAGAGAAAGACTGGATAACATATTTTCCCCTCTGATTTGTTTCTCCTTTGTGCAACCTCTTCCCACTGGCCAGGAGCAATAACAGTCTGTATACTGGGCCAGTTATTCTGCCCCATCTCTCCCCAGAGCAGGGATGTGTGTATGTGCTATGTTGTGCCACCCTACGGTCACTGTTTATAGTGCTTGTGTCTTCAGCTCAATAGGATCCCCTGGAGGTTCTCTGGATGTATTGGTTGCAATAGGCCGGTCACCTTTGAGAATAGACAGACGTTCTGAGATACTACGCATCCGAGGGAATAAGATGAAGTCGTACAAAAAGCCACCCATCAAACCACCAATAATTGGTCCAACCCAATATACCTGGAAGAACAAAAGACAAAAGCATGGGAAGGGGGAACAAGAAGATAGGTTAGGGATGCAGAAACATCTTAGAGCATTTCAGAAAAAAAAATACTTCAGGGCCTTTCCCATTATTAGCAGATTGAAATCCTCTTGACCCATCATTGATAAATCATAAAGTACGGGCAGCCCATCCAGCAGTTGTAATCAGCTAGTCTCTTCTACTTTATTAGTCTCATCATTGAGTCTGCAAATGGATTCCAAGTAGACCAAAGATTTTCCATAATTGCCCAATCTCTAATTCCATTGATTCAAGTTTGCTTGCAATTTTTGCCACCAAGTTTAGATTCATATGTTGTCATGTACCTGATAATTAGTAGAATTTTAAAGTGAGGTCAAATAAGTTTGACATTGGGATACTCTGACATTTTCGGTGCCGTCTCAACATTTTATTTCTTTTTGAGTCGAGCAATTGCCTGGAGAAGTCCTTCATTTTTGTTGGCAAGATTTCAGTAGAGATTGCCATTGACTCCTTCCCAGGGCTGAGGTAAGGGAACTGACCCAAGATCACCCAGTTGGCTTTGTGTTTCAGGCAGGATGAGAATTCACTGTCTCCTGGTTTCTAACCTGCTGCTTTTAACCACTACACTAGACTGGCTCTCCCCTCTCAACTTATCCGCAGAATAAAAATTGGAACCGAGTGCATTTTATTTGGGGGACTATTTAAAATATTTACTTTCATGGAGGATTAAAATGCACCCAAGTTGCCTCTGCTATGTTCTCAACCAAATAATATCTCACTTGGGACTTCCTAGGAGCCAAATTTCAAGAGTTTGGATGCTGCTTTGGATAAAGATATAAAAGATTCCCCTTTCTGAAGTTGCAATTCTTTCTCCAAATTCAGAGAAGAAAAATCAAATAATCTTTCAGCCCCTGGACTGTTGTTTCAAAGAACTGTAAGATGTCATCATTTCTTATCCTTACAAACCCCTCCCTTACCCAGTGGTTGGTGAAGTTACGGGTTATGACAGCTGGGGCAAAGGATCGAGCAGGATTCATGCCAGCTCCTGTGTAGTATATCTGAAAAAAAGAGTAGGATTACGACAGGGAAATATTTTTTTTCATCATGCAATTCAGGTTTCTAATCCTAAAGGGTCCAACTCCCTTATTTATATCTTTGCTTAAATATTAGCATTTATATACTGCCTTTAGGCACATGCGCAAGGCAAATAGTAAATACATAATATAGCAACAATAAATTTCATTAAAGCACCAAAATCAAACTTAAAAATAATATAAACTAAAAATAATGTATACCCATTGAAAGGTAGTTTAAAAGATACAATTAAAATATTGAAAGGGGCAAGTTGTTATGCTGAGTAGATTACATATAGCAACCTGGAAATTCTTTCTAGCAGGAGTGGTTCATCTGAATTCCAAGAACCGCTGAATTTATTTCATATGGCCATAGGCTTAATTTCAAAAGCCTTCTTCAAATCCTGGCCGTGATAAAAGCTGTTCCAGAAAAAGGCATGACCATCCACAAAGATTCCCTTTGGAAGATTGGTATGCGTGATGGGAAGAAAGACCCCTTCCCTGCTGTTTTATAGATTCAAAATGGTTAAACAGAAAAAAAATAAGCTGCTGGAAGAATAGGATGCAGTTAAGAATAAGTATTGGAAGGATTAATCCTCCATCCAGGCCTGGTCAGGTGGCTACTTCAGAGACTGCCTAAATGTATTACAACTGGCTATATATTGGTGCATCTTGCACATTGAATCATTACCCCAAAGAGGTGTCCAAGTGTGAGGGAGAATCCAACTGCCAGGGCCACCGATCCCATGCGTCCGTTACGTCTCTCATCGTAGGTGGCAAAGACACAGAGGACAAACTGTAGGGTCAGGATGATTTCCACAATGGTAGCTTGGCTTACGTTTACACTAGGGTGTATCTGTAGCCAGAAGATATGTGGAAGGATTAAAAAACCATGAGGAACAGCAAAAGTTATCATTCATTCCATACCTAACTATACCTTTAGGGACTTTGGTTTCCAGAAATTATTTATGCATACCAGGAGGAAATAACTGATTGCATTTACATCTAGAATAAATTTGTAGAATAAAGATATTAGATTTTAATAGTGCCCATGTGATTATCTGCCAGACCTCATTCTAGTCAAACTAGAGGTTCAACAAGGTGGGGCAGGAATAAAAGAAAGTAAAATAGGTTTATAAAGCAACACAAAGTCTGTAGCCAGGAGGAAAGCTTTTGAGATGCATAGATAAACGAATAAGGCAAATCTGAGAGTCTATTATCTATATCAAGTGGATAAATCAAACATAACTGCATTTTCTAATAGAGTTAGGGTTAGGGTTAGGCCTGTCTCACATATAGCTGATTTTCTTCCTTTAGTTCTCTATTGTCTATAGGGTGGAGGCTGGATCCTGACAACTCCCAGAGACATGCTTATCCAGTTAATTAATGCTGACGAGCCCTTAAATCTTATGAATCATCCTGACTTGGTTTTTGGAACCTGAGGTAAACTTATATTTCAATTATTAATCTAGGATTAATTATTTAATTACTCCTAAAAGCCATCTACTCCAACTTTTCCACACTACACCTCTAACCAAAGAAGCATTTTTTATTAGTACATTAAATATTTTCCTCATCTGAGACCTGAACCCAAGATTTCCCCCATCCCTTTATCTTACCATTTATATGTGTACAGTATATATGTGTCTGGGTGAGCAAAAAGAGAAAATGTAAGAGCAGAGATTCTTAAATCCACAAACTCCATTTTTGATTCCAACCAGTTTTAGCTAAATTATACCTCGCCGCCCCCACCAGCGCACTCTTCAAAATTAGGAGTTCAAGAGGGCTGCACAGGGTAAGCCCTCTCTCCCTGTAGTAAAGTTGAAGCACCCATTTGTGAGTCATGAATTTGCAGACTTTCTAAATCATGCCTGCTTGCAGAGTCCTCTTTTACTCCCAGCTGACTAGGCTTCAGAGTCAGTTCCTGGCTTGAAGTATGTTTTGATGGCCACCCATCTTTGCTGACTAGTGGATTTGATTGAGGTGAATTTAAGGGAGGTATTTTAATTTCTCACAACGCCATCCAAGGTGATGTTTTGGCAAAAATTAAAATGGCAACTAGACTCACTCCTTTTTGGTATTCAGAGCACCAAGGAGTGAGGTAAAATGTATCTAGAGAATCCCTGCTAGTTTTCCTTTAGTCTATATCTCTCTGGCTTGTTGTCTTCTTTTTATGATACCTTTTTTTAAAGACTGGACTGGAATTAACATTCTGTCAGTTTGCAGCCTCTCACCAAAGAGTGCATCTCATACTTAATGCACAGGGTGCATCCTCACCTAACCTACAAATTTCTAACTGCCTCTGGATGAATACTGGGGTCCAATTGCATACAATTTTCTCCTCAGAGTCAAGGTCTTGGAAACAGCTGGTTAGCACATCTCGTACTGAACAGGTTATTTGTACAATTTGGAGCTGAAAGTGATACTCTCCTCTCCTGTGGCAGGAAAATCAGTGAAACGGTGGCATTTTACTGATTCAAAAAATAAAGCATAGAGAGACTTGGAAATAATACTAATACTAATAATGCCCCTGCTGAGTTTCAAAGCACCAATATTTGACTTACAAGGCAAAATTTATATTGACTACAGGTAGTCCTCATTTAGTGACCACAATTGGGAAGGACAACTCAGCCATTAAGCAAAGCATTGGCTAAGTGAAACCACAACCATTCTTATGATTTTATTTTAGCTTTCCTTTGCTTGACAGAAGGTCATAGATGCTAGGAATCATTGTAAAGTTACTTTTTCATAATTGTAACTTCAAATGGTCACTAAATGAGGACTATCTGTATTCTAGTAAAACAGGTAGTGGTCTAAAAGCCACTAGAGGCCATGGATTGGCTTAGCTGAAGGGGCAGTCCTTCTTCTGCAAAGTAGCCAATGAGCTGCTGAGGTTTGTCCATGGGACACTGTAGCTCAATGTATTGTAAAGTGGAAAATACGGAATTTTGGATGTCGAGCAGATAAATGTACCTTAAGGTTGCTTGATAGGTAAGTGAGGGATTAAGGCCCTTCAAAAACAGATGCTTGCCTGTTCTAGCAGCAAGACAACCAGGCAGTGCTGAGAAACTCCGAATCAGCAAGGGAACTAATGGGTATATTTCAGTTTTTCCCATAGCAAAAATGGGAGGAAATCAGTTCAATTTAGGGCTTCTCACTAGAAGACACAATGATGTTAATGCATCATGACAGTGCCTTTTTTCGGCTCTGTATCCATAAAGTTGTCTTCATTTCATTCCCAGTCTGTGGGGGTTTGGTCTTCTCTGAACTTGGTTATTTGCTTACAGAAGTTTCATTACTAACCAGGTAACCAGGTAACATAATCAGTGATGTTATTTAGTTGTGTAATGAAACATTTGCGAGAAAACAACCAAGCTCAGAGAGGACCAAGTATTCAAAGTTCAACCCTGAACTATAGAAATTCTCTTGTATTACCATCACCGGCCTGTGAATGAGACAGTACCAGTGTTAAAATAACAGTCTAAAGGCAGCCTCATGATGTATAAAATCTGTTAACAGACAAACCTCTAAATAGAATTAAGATAGTTTCATAGTATCTAAGAGAAGGATAAATACAGATGCCTTCCATTCATCTGGAACATAATTGTATCATCAGAATTAATCTAGGAATTTTAATATTCATTAATGCGCACCTCCAAAATTTGATATCTGAAATTAGTTCACCAGCAAAGTGTAAAAATATGACAGGTACAGTACACTAACAAAGAATGCATTTAAAACAATCTAATTCACTCAGACTTTGATTATTCCAAGAAACATTCCTAGTATAATTTTCATTCAGATAATTGATATTTAAATATGTTTCAATTATTGCTCAAATCCAAAATATGTCAATTCAAAATCCATAATTAAAAAGCTTTTAAACTCAGCTGAAACGCTAGTCTGATGGCTTCTAAATACAGCACTTTTGCTTCCTGAAAACAGTTCATTTACTACAAAAAGGGAATTTACTATCCAAGGGAAGCTTTTGCTATTCAAGGGAAGCTTTTAATATGCCATTACCCTAAGGATGAGAATCCTGAGAATTCTTTCACTTGAAATGTTCCTGTGTTTTTGCATAAACTTCTAACTTTACTTTTTTTACACAAACAAAAATAAGTTTCACAATTAGTAATAGTGATAGTATTAGCTGATTTCCATCAAGGAATATTCTAGGAGTAGAGTGGGTTTTTACATCAAGAATGAAAGGATTTTCACATAGAAAAGTTCATTAGATTTAATACTAACTCACACATAATATTTTTATATTTGCTAAATTTATATGCCGCCCATCTCACTATCAAGCAAATCTGGGCTTTCGGGTAATATATCTGAAAACCTTCAAATTAAGATTGTTTTTAACAAGAACAATGTTCTCTGTTATGATCAACCAGCCAGGTGGGGAATCCAAAGATTTGGTTGGGAAAACAATGCTTGCTTTTCTTTCGAAATATGTAGTAGAAGTGATTTACTTCAAAACTAACTGCAGATCTGATTTAAAGTTACAACAATGATAACATTCTTTCATGAAAAGTGCCTTTGATAACATCCTTAAAAAAAATAATTTGTATCTCTCTCATCCTCCCTCTCTTTAACTACTTTTCTTATTATATCCAATTACACTGATATAAAATTCTATCGTATTCTCTTTTATGCTCTGTACTCATACAAAGACATACGTTGAGTATCCTGGGCAATCTGGCTTTTACCCAATAACTACTCCAAGATACTTCTTGAGATGAAAATAATATACTCATGAAAATATTTCAATCCTTGTTTCAGGTTCTATGCTAGCAGCTTCATCCTTCTAGATTTAGTGTTAACAAGCTCTCCTATATGGGATATACTTTGTACCTTCATTCTTCTGGTTCCCAATAATCTCCCTAGTAATCCAGATTGTAAAGGGCACAATGTGCAGCCCTTTAGAGAATCTCCTACACACAGCAATGCTAACTCATTTCTTGTCTACAGCTTTAGGGATACCCCCCTCTTAAAAACATTTTGAAACAGCTTTGTATGATCCCATTACCGTGTTGAGTGCCAGGTTACCCCGTAGTGCTGCTGGGGTGACTCCATAAAGCACAGCTGCACCGGCCAGTCCTCCCAACACCTGGGCCACCACGTAGAAGACAGCACGGAAGAGGGAAAGCTGCGAGCCCAACAGAAAGGCCATGGTAACAGCTGGGTTGATGTGGGCACCACTTACATGGCCTAGAGACTGTACCATGGTGGCTGCTACCAAGCCAAAAGCCAGGGCCACTAGTAGAACATTTAAGGGGCCAACAATCCAGCGAAGGGAAGCCCCCAGCCCAAAAAACACATAGAACATAGTCCCGAAGAACTCGGCAAAAACAGCTCTCCAAAAGGAGGATAAGCGTGCCTCCCACATGATGGGTCAGGAGGAGGACAGAGACTGAGCAGGGTGCAGCAGGATGATCTTGAAGCTCACTGCTGCTTGCTGCACCACCCCTCCACCTAAGCCCCTTGTTTTGTATTGTGGCTGTGAACTTTATAAGGTTTGCTAGTATAGTCCAGCCCAGGAGGTGGGAACTCAGATTGACTGATTGGACTCTCTTAACTCTTCACTGCCTGACCTAAAGGTTTAGGCAGAAGCCAATCCCTAGCTCCTGTAGCTACTAACAGAGCTTTAACTCCAATAATTCAAACTCTTTCATTTCCATTTTCCCCTTTTCCTTGCTTAGATGATTTACTTCCATTTTCTTCTTAGCAATTATTGTAGTAAGATCCCAAGCAAATGGCTTCAGTGGCGTTCATTGGGAAGTAGGGGAGGTGGTTTGGAGTCCTCCTTCACAATCCACATCGGTGGCTTGGAGGGTAGGGGGGCACTTGCATGTCCTTCCCAGTGCAGAGGTGCATGAGAGGGAAACGACCTAATTTCCAACATTTGCAAGCAGCCAGAGGTTTTGACTACTTATGACATGTCATTTTTGGATCATGTGTGTGACTGCCAGGGAAGTGTCCGCTGCTGTCATTGGATATTGTCTCTTTAGTTTTTTCCATTGCTCTCAACTAATTCATGAGTTGTCAGAAAACTATACTGGTATGGAATTTGCTATTTTGATTGATGATCACTATGGTGCTATATCTCTGTCGCCTCTGAGTGCATCTCTACCGCCACCTAAGTGTGTCCAGAAAGTACTAAACATACTTTTTTATATGTTGCCTCTGTCTCATTATCAGATAACTTTAGATGTCCTGGAATGCAAGTAGTGTTTTCAATGTTATGCCAGCAGAAGGCCTTCCATATGGATGGTCTTAAGAACATGGAGAAAGGGGCTTGAGATGATGTAGTCAGGGTTGATCTGTCAGGTTTGCATTTGGACTTCCTCCTTCCATTTGGACACTAGGTTTTGTACCTGTGGTGCATGGCTGTTTTGGCATGGACCAGAAACCAGGCTTCTGCAGCCAATTTGTGGTTTATTTTTTATTGTTGTTCCAATAATTCCATCAGTTGAAATTGTTGCTTCCTAAACTGAGAGACTATAACCCAAAACACCTGACAGATGGATATTTCACAGGTACCATTCCTATTTTTGAATATCATCTCCATGCATGTTGCATGGGAGATGGACAGAGGGCCTTCCTCTGATTTTTTGTTGTTCTATGAGGAAGATTGGAACCAACTTCTGCAACTGCTCTAGGTGCTATGTTATGAAGAATAGGTTGACTTGTCCACCTGCACACAGATTGAAAAAAATCCATTCTCAAAATCCAACTCTTTAACTATACTTATCCAGTGTTGCACAAATCTGGTTGATTGCTAGATGGAAGTCAAGATCTCTCTCTTACTACTTAAGATCAGTAGGTTGACAGGTCAATAGAGTAATTATTTTGAGAAAATGTTATGGCATGTATTAAAGAACACCACAGAGTTTAACACTTCTTTTATATATACCCAGTTCTTAGGAACATTATGTCAGTGGCCGCAACGAAGCAGCACAATTATTAATGAAGGATGGTTATGTTGCAGTCAAGAGAGAGCAACTCTTCATTGTCAACTAGTAGTCATTAGATCATTAGACTGTCCCATCTGGACAGTCCTTTGGAAAAAACAAACAGGAAAAAATGGATTGGGCAGAGTGCTGGGACCTTACAATCCTTGCCCCAGCATATCCTATACAGTGATTAGGGATTGATGACATTCAGATTTTGGCCAGTGGGGAAACCAATCCCTGCCTATACAGCATTATGCAATACAATTGTATAGTCAGCAACATGGGAAGGTCTTATTCTGGATGCCCAGTAAGGATGCATTCTGGGGTAGCAAGATTTAAGGTGATAGGGTTCTCAAGGTTCCAGAAGAGAAGGAATCACTACAGAAACAGATGCATGGAGATGTTTGTGTCAGTTCTCTGCTACACCAGATTTACCTCCAACATCATATCTAACAGCCTGATAGGGAACCAATTTTGTGTAATGTTAAATGGTTAGAGAAATCAAGGAGACTGTGACTACTTGTCCTGCCTTAGGCATGAAAGCTGGCTGGGTGACTTTGGGCCAGTCATTCTCTCATAGCCCATCTCAACTCAAAGGCTGTTGTTGTGAGGAAAATAGGAAGAGGAAGGAGTATTAGGAATCTTCACCACCTTGAGTTATTTATAAAAACAATAAAGGTGGAGTAAAAATCTAATAAATAATAGATTTTGCACACCTTGTGACTGTTCTTGAATAAATGGGGAGCAGGGGAAGAGAAATGCTGCATTAAGAAAATGTTAAGACTGTCTCACTCATGGGCTTAAGGCAAGGTGAAGGCAGCATCACTGGGACTCAGCAGATACATAATTGTTGTCAGACGCAAGTTTATGCTAAAGTTAGGCGTGAGCAGGAAAAGACCCAGTCTTTCTTAAGATTCTTTATGAAATTGTTTCTGACTAGGACTGGAAATTGAAGGCATGTCAGATGTTTTATGATTTTACATTTTCTGTAATTTTTTCCCCTTTCCTTCTGGATTCCTCTATAGGATACAGTGAGGTAAGAGCTGTTCCACTATTTCCAGCCTAGTTTGAGCACAGAACTGTCAACATGTCATTAGCAGTTTAGAAAAATATCAATACATTGCTTTGTTTTGTAGCTCTGAACTATTTCTCTTTATTTTGGTTGGACATTTTTCTCCTAGAAGATTGGGTGGGTAGACCTATCATGACCATTGATTAAAATCAGCCCAGACTGAATGTTTTTGCTTCTGATATTTTTCCTAGAGTTAGGTATAGGTTTGAAAAGCCCTTCTCTCTGACAAAACTCTTTGTGAGATTGTTTGTGACTGGCACTGAAAACTGGAATCACGTCTGATGTTGTATGGTGTTCTTGTGTTTGCTGTATAGTATTTTTCCCCCAGCTGTCTTCCGATATTTTTTCTTTTGAAACAATTCACTCATTATCCCAGAATCTATAGCATCTTTAATACAGGATTGCACAACTGATTGCACAATTTGGTTGAAATACAATTCCCATAATGCTGGTCATTGCAGTGAGTTGATGCAAGGTGGAAGGAGCTATCAGTACAAACCACATTAGTTTATCTCTAAATTTCCGCAATTCTATCCAATTTATACATTACCTATTTTTCCTCCACTATCTACTCCCCCAAGCTTAGAGCTATTTTTAGACTGAGATCTAATGATTTGGCTCACAAGCTGGGGGATAGCATTATTGAACAATTGTGGAGGACGATAGCTATTAATTGTAAATATTATTATTATGGTTTAAAATAGAACAAAATAAACTGGTACTCACTAGATGGGATGGGATGGGATGGGATAGGATATCACAAAAGGCAAGATATAATGATGGTCCTAATGGCCAAGATATAATTATGGTTCCTGAGTATTAGTTTGGTGACTAAGGCTTACTTTAGTTGTAGGCAGTTGCTGGTTGATGCCGTTGGAATAAGCAACCATAGGGGGAATAAGCAACCATAGGGAGCTGTTGAGAATGCTCTACTGTATTTCAGCCTTCCCAAACCTACTGTTCTGCAGATGTCTTGAATTTCAACTCCCTACCATATCACCAATAATTCCTACCAACAAAATATGTTGCAGATAAACAGCTCTTTGTATTCTATACTCCATCACCATCCCTGCGGGCCAACTATTATGTTGAATGATAACACAGATCTCCCTGTGAACAAAAAATGCCATCTTCTGCCATAAAGCAAGGTAAGCAGGCTACATGAGTCTCTGTGACTTGGCTAAATGTCTCTTCTGCAACCCCAGAGTGATATTACCTATGGTTTTTCAATGGAAAAGAAGAAGAAAAAAACCAACATGGAAGCCCTGCCAAAGGTAGTCTTCAACCCACAAAAGTTACAGTTAAGAAGAATATTGTCTGGATCCCTGTAACATTTCTAAATGAGGCAAGGTAATTGTATAATAAAAAATCTTAAGAGGAAGCACCAGGATGTATCAGGAACTACCTTGGTAGAATTGATTCTGCCCATCTGGACAAGATATCAAGAGATTCTGTTGCAGGTCCTTTCTCCTCCCGAGGTACGCAGAGTATGAACCAGGCGACAGGTCTTCAGAGGGATGACCCCCATTTTATGGAACAGTCTCCTCCTGGAGATCCAGATGACCCCAGCCCTGCTTAAACAAGCTAAAACAATTCTAATCCATGTTATGCTCACCCTTAGATTATTAGTATAGTTTTATGGGTTTCTATGATGCTTAGTTTTTGGATAGTTTATTATAATTGTTTATTATTGGTTTTTATTATTCCTCTTGACCTTGTTATACCCTGCTCAGAATCCACTGGGGTTGAGGCCAGTTATAAAAAAATAAATGAATGAATAAGCAAATCAAGCTAAACTGAGAGAACAACCAAGGTAGAAATACATCTGTGGAGGTGGGGTCTTATGGGTTAACTGCTCAGTAAAGGGATGAAGATAAAACCAGCAGGGCCCTCTGTGCTTCAAAAGAGGCCTCTCTGGAATATTTGTCACCGTAGCATTTTGAAGCAGCTATTTAATCAGAACTGTTCAACACTCTAATTCTCTTTCTGCTGTAGGGGATTTATCCGCCTGCTCTGGGATTGGGCAAGTTGAGGAAAAACTGCCAAGTCGGAAAGAAGCAAGGACAATGGAATATGCTGGGCTCAGCATTTGACCAGGGCCAGCATGTTTGAAGGACACAGGAGAGGAGAATCAGCATATGCATGCTCAATCACAGTCTCGTATTTTATTGCACATCAGGTTCAGGGGTGGGTGTGAGTGTGTTGGCTTAGGCCTCTTGTCAAACTCCATCCATGTGGCAAAGAGAAACACGCTGCTTTTCCTGAAATGTTTGCTCATGAGGGTTCTCAGGCTTCCAGAATCTGTTCTGGCTTTGACTAGAACTCTGGTTCCGCTCAGTTGAATTTTGGAAGAAAAAAAGTTCACCTAACATTCTGAAGGGAAGGATTTGGAACCTAGGCACTGGTCCTGAATATGCAGTACCGGCAATCTAATTTAGGAGTAAAGGAGTAATATTGTGGCTGGTTGTCAAGCAATCAGAAATTAAAAATTCTTGACAATCTAAAAGTCTGCAAAGATTCTCAGTCATGCAGGTCATGGTTGTCCTAAAGGTGCTTTTTCAGGTGGCAACTGGACTTCATTTTTTCTTTTGAAGACGTTTTGCTTCTCAGAAGTGAAATATCTTCAAAAGAAAAAACAAGAAAGTCCAATTGCCTCCTGAAAAAGCACCTTTGGGTCTTGACAATCTACTTTTAATTGTCCATAGATACACAGTACACACTATAGTATCATACCGTAGTATAATACAGATGACACACAGATCTGGAGAAAAGCTTTTGTCCAAGGCCACGCAATAAAATAAAAAGCAGAGTTTGGAACAGAAGGCAGGAGGCCTCGTTTCCAGTCCTTTCTCTCAGATCATTATATCTGTCCTTTGAAGAGAAACTGAAACAAGCATTTTTTTCTTAGATCTTCTGTAGATCTAGTTCACTAGATCATGGGATCAGCAATTTTGGGGGGAGCCAATGGCCCATAGGTCTACCCATTTCTAGGGCATATAAGCACCCCCATAACTCTGCCATCATATGAGTGGTCAAGGACAAAATACTCAACTACTGGACAGTAGAACTTTTACTGGGCCTCCCAAAACCGGGAGGCCCTGCTACCAGACCCTACTTGTATCCCTTTTTTTTGGGCAGGCAAATGTACTTCCAAACAAAGCACTGGGCTGTTATGCAGCAATCATTTTTAGGCTCTAAGAATACTTCTGAGATCTTTGTGGGATTTACATGAGCTTTCCATTTACATGTGTTTTAAATTAAATGTATCTAAAATCAGTCAGGTGGATATGGAGACTGATGGTGGCAAAGGAGGAGTCACCAAGTATATTGAAGCTGATGAGCATCACACGCACTAGGTCTTATCTAAAAACTATGAGAATCTAGGAATCCTGGCTTCTATCCTTCCTTGGATTACTCTATTTGATACTATTTATGTTGTAAACTGAACAGAATCAGAATTCTGGTACGGTCATGATGGCAGTGCTGTGCTTTAAGAGCACCAACCTCAAAACACTTAATGCCAGTACAGATATAAATATATATGAAGCTGCATAAGGTGGAAGGAAGCTGGAAGCTGAACAGAGGCTTTACAAGAAGACAAAGAGAGGGGGAATTGCTGTAGCTTCCTACTCAGTGCCATGTTCTTCCTTGTCAGGTGATTTAGCCTGAGCAGCAGCAGAGACTGAAGACCGAGACATGCTGGCCGCCTCCACAATCTCAATGTCACGACAGGTCAGGCAGGCAACAAGCTTTTCCCGTGAAGCACTGTCAGCAAAGAAGAATTCATAGGATACTCCAGCCAGAACAGCACCCAGAATAGGGCCAAGCCAATACACCTGGAAAGTGAATATGAGAGATCGTGTGAGGGCCATGATGTAGTTTCTGAAGCAGTATATATCAGCCCTTGGAAGGGTGGGGGAAGATCACATAATATCCAACAGATTGGCAAGAACGTGGTTGTAAAGAATCCTAGCAAGGCTCAAGCAACATATTGATAAGCATAAGGGAAGACTAGAGAGAAAAGCAGGGAAACCCATATTGGAGGGGATAAAATGCCTAACACTGGCTGAAACCAGTAAAGATGAGAGTGTAAGGTAAACCTAAATACTATTTTAAAGAATGGAAATATGTGTCTGTATTCTCCAGCAAGTTCTGGGCAGCTTATATTAATACCTTGAAAATTCAATATAGCAGCAGAAAAATACTTTAAAAGTTCCAAGTTATAGATTTAAATGCTGAATATAATCATCCATTCAAGGTCATCCTAAATCAGAACTTCCAGAAAGTTATCTGACAGGAAAAAGGAGAGTTTCTCTTGAGTAGGCAATCCAGAGACAACTACTAAAATTGACCCCTTCCCTCCAGGGCACCCAAGAGATGAAAAATCTCAGGCTATTCTTCTCCATAGGAAAAAGCCATTCCTCTCCATTACAGTAACCACTCACCCAATGATGTTCCCAGAATCCTGTGATGACAGCTGGGCCCAAAGATCGGGCTGGATTCATACTGCCTCCAGAGAAGGTACCCTAGGAAATATAAGTTTGATACAAGCTGTAATGATGTTTCAATTCCTCCCTTGGAGGATTGTTCTATGACATTTTTCCTGTTTATTATTTTTTTTAAAAGGTGGTCTTTCTAGCTGTTGCTGGAGCATTAGCTGAGCTTCAGGACTATTTACTGTCCCTGAAATTCTTGGCCGGAACTCAGTTTGGGGTACTGGTGAAGGTGATAGCCTAGGAAACAGGAGACTACGAGTTCTAATTCCACCTTTGACATGAAAGCCAGCTGGGTGGCTTCAGGCCAGTCACTCCCAGGCTAACTCATCTTAAAGAGTTGTTCTGGAGGAAATAGGAAGTAAGAATATTTGGCATGTTCTCTGCCTTGTTATATGCAAGAAAGGTGGAATAAAATAACAATAGCAACAAAACCAAAAGGATCCACAAACAGTTAAGTAAAGAGGATGATCTTGCTAGAGAGAGGGAAGAACCATTACCAAGACTAAAATGAGACCAAGGCGAGAGCTATAGTATTCTTGATCTACTCTATCTTTTAGGACTGACTGTATTACACACTGCAATTTTTAACAGGAGGAAGGGATTTATTAAATACATAGGTAGTAATCGTCTTAATGGCATTTTTCAATTAACATGTAATTAAATTTAAACAAGTTTAGGTTTTGCCCTGAGGAAATCCATTTCTTTTCTTATGCCAACTATATTTGGAAACTTCACCTCAGGATCAGGTGTGGCATACAGTCTCCAAAATACTGCACAATCGTACGTAATATGTATATACAGAGAGAGACATAAAACCCTAAAATTTTATCTATTGTATGCATTTTTCCCCAGTTTGTGATATTCAATTTGTTGAACTTTTGAGCATTTTAAAGGTATTTTCCTGGTTCTAGCCTGGTGGGAACGACCTTGGGAGACAGGAGGAAGACTGGATAATTATCATGTAATAGGTTTTGTTTTGTTTTTAAGGAGAGGGGATACTTTCAATCTTGCAAAATTCTGTTAATGTAACCTTACAATAAAGAAAGAGCTAGTACTTCTGGATACTCTTCTTGTCTGGACTATCTCACCAGGCTAACATAGCCTAACACTGCGAGAGATGAAAAAAAATTTTTTTTATTACAGTTAAAGGCCAGCCACTTAAGATAGCTTCCTAAAATATCCAGACAATAAAGCAGCACGCAGTATAATACAGGAATGTAAAAAGCAATAGGGAATTATATGCTACAGTTGCTGAGAGAGATGGATTACAGTTTTGCCACTGACTGTTCATTATCTGTTGCTGCGGAAAGCTGCTATGCAAAAGTTTACAACCGTAGAAGTAGCAGGAGGCTGCATGTCCCTGGGTAGTTAAATGGGCAAAATAGGTTTACTGTTTAGATCTCTATAAAATTTACAACATAGCAAGACATGCTCAACTGGTTTGACCAGCCATGAAGGGCAGATGTGCTCCTGGTAGGGGTTCCTATTAAAGCTGCCTTCCAGCTGCGTGGATAAAAGTAAGTTAAATAAAGCCTGAGAAAAAGCTCTGTGATGGGCATTTTCAAGGTGCCAAGATACCGTATTTGGTAGGCTGCAGATTTAGATTTAGAATACTAAAACATTCAACAATCTAACACCTACAAAAGTAGGTTCAATTCGTTTTGTTACTTTGCCTTCCAGGCAGGGCCGGATTTAGATGAAAAGAGGCCCTAGGCTATTCCACTTATGAGACCCTTTCACCAGTGGTGGGATTCAATTTTTTTAACAACAGGTTCTGTGGGCGTGGCTTAGTTGGGGGTGTGGCTTGGCAATCATGTGACTGGGTGGGCATGGCTAGCTGGTCACGTGACTGTGTAGGTGTGGGTAGCTCATCATGTGACCGGGTGGGCGTGGCTATGCGCATAGACTTTTTTCAGAGGGCTGAAAAAAGTCATTTCTGACTGGGCCTCACACTTTTGACCAGTCCTCACACTTATGACCATCCTCACATTTATGCCCGTGCAGCTTTCTTAACAACCATGTCACTCATTTCACAACTACTTCTCTTCACCATGGTGACAAGATAGGGCAAAAACGTAAAATGTGAGGACAGTCGTAAGTTCGAGGACTGGTCAAAAGTGCGAGGACCAGTCAGAAATAACTTTTTCAGCCCTTTGAGTAGTCCATATGCATAAAAGGATACAGCAATAGAGAGGGATGAAGGAAGGGAAGGGAAATTAGAGTAGGAGGGAGGGTAAGAGAGGGAGGAAGAGAGGAGGAGAAGGAGAAAGGAAGAGGAAGTAGGGAGGAGAAGAAGAGGGGGAGGAAGAGAAAGTAAGAAGGAAAGAAAAGAGAGAGGTGGTAGGTTTGAGGAGAAAGATTGCTGTACAATAAAAAAGATGAAAGGGAAGAAAGCCAACCCCAAACAAATATAAAGATATTAAGATAAAATAATGAATTGTTAAACTTTAAAGAATAAAAGAGAACAAATATGAATAAATAACAATAATTAGAAACACACATACAAACATACAATGTATTTTCTTTGAACAGAGTATTTGGCCGGTTCACAAATTTAAACAGTGTTTAGTCATTTCAATTAAATATACAATTTCTATATTTCCTTTTTGCCATATTTATTCCTCATCTATTTTTGTAAAAAACCAATATTACCCTTCATCCTCATCTCTAATCTTAATCAAATTCAATTTTTCCCTTCTATTCTATATTATACCCCTTCCCATTGTCATCTATTTTTATATCCATCCTCATATTGGTTAATTATGTAATATTAGTTGTTTAATATAAATTCAACATTTTAGTATAAATCAATTAGTTATATAACTACCTTTTTTGTATATTAATCAATATGAACATGAATATTCCAATTATTTCCATGCAATCCAATTTCTTACAAATCAATTAATTATATTTACCAATAATAATAAACCAAATAATTTCCCCCATATATTCCTCCAAACCACAACTTAACCATTTCTGCTTTCAGAAATATACAATTAATAGTATCTCAATTATTACAATTCCCTAATTAAATAGAGCTTTTTTTCTTTTGTGTTTTAAAATCCTGAACTCTCCTCTTTTTCCCTAAATTTCCCATTGTTTGCACCTACCTTTTTTGGTGAGGAAAAAGAAAAGAATTCTGCCTGCCTAATTTTCCAACCTTGCAGCAACAGCAAAGCAGTTTCAGTTTCGTTTCTCAGTATAGCTAGGGGGAAAAAAATCAGCACTCTTTGCAAGGAAGCAGAAGAGCCCTGAGCAAAACAGCTGAGACAAATCAGCTGAGAGCCGGGAGGCCAATTAGCCTATGCTGAAGCTCCGGGGGCCAATAAAATTACAAAAAAAACACCGAACCCTTTGTTAAATTGCTGGCTCCCCCGCCCCTCGCCCACCACTATTGATTGGCAATAAATAGTGGTGCGGAGGGGCGGGGCAAGCCAGCAATTTAACAAAGGGTTCGGCTGCACCACTGGCTCTCGGGCGGCCCTTTGAAGCCCCGCGGCAAGAATTTGAAGTTTTTTTTTCCTCTAGCCATCGGAGGCAGCAATAGATTGGGAGTGGGCGAGGTAAGCGAACGGCAGGCGATCCAACAGAGCAGAGAGTGAGGGTGAGTGAAGGCGTGGAAGCGGCTTTCTCCATCCTGCTCTCTTGCGTCCGGAGCCAGTGGGGAACCACGTGGCAGCCCACGTGGATCCCAGGCAGCGGAACTCAGGCTAGGGAAGGGGTGGGCAATTGTGGCTCTTTTACAACCTGTGGCCTTCAACTCCCAGAATTCCTGAGACAGCCAAGCTGCATCAGGAATTCTGGAAGTTGAAGTCCACAGGTTGTAAAAGAGCCACAATTGCCTACCCCTGGCTACGGTAGGCTGGCGCCGCACGGGTGGGAGGCGAGGGGCGGGTGGGCCAGCAATTTAACAAAGGGTTCGGCCGAACCCCCTAGAACCCCCAGAATCCCACCACTGTGTAGGCCCCTCTTGATCTTAAGGCCCTAGGCTGAAGCCTAGTTAGCCTATAGGAAAATCCGGCCCTGCTTCCAGGACTTTCTCTTTAAGAATCATTCCAGTTTTGTTACTGTCCATGGGCAGCAAAAAACAAATAAACAAAAAACCCCCCCACTGTGGATAAAAGCTGTAATTGCACTTTTTACAAAGGGGTCCACTTACAGAGGATGAGCTCTACTGAACAAAAATGAAGCTGTAAACCAGGATTAAAGATCACCAGCCGAACACAAGCATCTAATTTAATTGACCTCAATTAAAATCAACCTTAATTAAAATTTGCCACATGGAACATATTTGGGGGGGAGTTCTGGTATCAGGGAATTGGGTGCACTTTGGAACGCTTATTTGCCAGGGCTCTTACCGCAGCCAGAGCTCCTGCTATCACAGAGAAACCGATAGCCAAGATCCCAGCAGGCTCCCCTAGATCATGCCTCCGGTGATCTTCTACAGCAAAAATGGTGAGAGCCAGCTGGAAAGTGGAAAACAGCTCCATCCCCAGAGCCTGTCCAGCATTCCCCTCAGTGCTGACCTAAAAGGAAGAAAGGAAAGAAGGAAGGGTTCAAAGTGTAGGCAGAGATCTTCTGCAAGTCATCCAAGGGCTTGACATATTAACCAGCATAAGTTTTTACTGTCCCATAAAATATTCTGCAGTCCAAATGTTAACTGTTGAAACTGCACAGGCCACTTGGATGCAAGACTACTTGGGGTATATATCCTAGAAGAAAGCAGTGGCAAGCTATTTTCACATTGTTGCTAAGAAATCTATGAATTCAGCAGAAATCAGAGACAGTTTACTTGTATGATTTCAAAACAGTTTTTTTTAAAAATTTGATTTATATGCCGCCCTTCTCTGGAGACTCAGGGTGGCTTACAATGCCTTAAGCAATAGCCTTCATACTTTTGTATATTTATACAAAGTCAGCTTATTGCCCCCACAAACTGGGTCTTCAATTTACCCACCTTAGAAAGGATGGAAGGCTGAGTCGACCTTGAGCCTGGTGAGAATTGAACTCGCAGTAATTGCAGGCAGCTGGATGTTAAATGCTGCCTTAGGAGGCATTAGCCTCCTACGCCACTCAGGCTATTGTAGTTAATCTACAATTTTTTTAGACAGGTTATATTAAAGAGATCTTATGATTTTAAAATTTTATTGTATTTTATTTATTTTTTATTATTAAAAATTAATAATTTTTTTATTTTTCCATATTACATCGAACTGATGTAATAATGATTCAGATAAATGATTCAGATAAATGATTCAGATATTAACTGATGAGATATAAAATGGATAGGCTGGCACAGTTAATGTTTGATGTGAAGACTCTAAATGACCACCAAAAACTTGATATGGGAAAGATGTAATTAAACTTATACAAATAGGTTTGCTCCTTATTTTGTCATTATAACAGGGCAGCTAATGATTTATTCTTTGCTATGCTTGAAAATATGCGATGCCCATCTTAGATTAAGACTAAAACATAACCTTTATAAATTGCACATATTCATAGGAAATAAGTATCTTTAATTTTTTTCTGGACATCTTTCAATGGGGGTTCAGTGGCTCACCTGGGTATGTCAGCTGCAAAAGCTGGCAGCCCAGGTTCAAAATAGGTGCGTAGGATGTACCTGAGTGCCACGCGATAGGGTGAGCTCCCATCCTCGCTCCAGCTTCTGCCAACCTAGCAGTTTGAAAGCATGCAAATGTGAGTAGAGGGCAAGGCAGAGGGAGAAATCTATATAGATAATTGTAGTAGATTGTATTTCTGTCAGACTTTTGCCCAGCAAGCTAAACTAGAGCCATTGAAAGATAAAAAGGTAAATGAGTCCCTGCGTATTTTACTCTGCTAGTTATTGCTGATTATAAGGGGCGGTGCTTATCTCTGTTTCAAGGCCATTGAGCCAGCGCTGTCCAATGACATTTCGTAGTTTCCAGCATGATATCATGGAGTGCTGTCATCTTCCCACCCAATTGTGCTGGTACCTATTTATCTACTCACATTTGCATGTTTCGAAATGCTAGGTTAGCAGGAGCTGGAGTGAGGATGGGAGCTCACCCTGTCACGTGGTGCTCAGGTACATCCTATGCACCTATCTTGAACCTGGGCTGCTAGCTTTTCCAGCTGACAAGCCCAGCTGAGTCATGAACCATCATTAAAAGAGGCCCAGGAAAAAATAAAGGTACTTATTTTAATTGCAAAAAAGCAAAGCAGCAATTTCAAACAACTTCCAAAACCCAGAGCATCAGGAATACCTCAGTAAAATGGCAGCCAAAAATGAGCTGCTAAGAGAATGCCTGAGGCAGCAGCACACTTGGAGGAAGATAAGTAGCAGCATAGGAGGAAGATCAAGGAGAGGCAATGCAATGGCAGAACAAGAGGGTGCATAGGAAGTACCATTGACAAACAGCAGAAGTGGCAGACATTGGGAAATCCTATCGGTGGCTGGATTAAAAGACAACATTGAGGCACTGATTGTAGCAACGTAAGAACAGGCACTGGGCATCAAATCCATAGAAACAGGAGTCTACCTCCCTAAACAAGACCTGAGATACAAACTCTTCAGAGGTCTCAGAGACAATCCAACACATAATGGTAAGGTGCAAGTGCAGGCAGGAACTGCATGCACTGAACAATATAACCAAGTAGCTGACAATTGTGTACAGGAACATCTGCACAGTGTATGGGTTATACCCTTGCAAATCCAGATGGAAGATTCCACAGAAGGTCATGGGGAATAACAGTGCTAAGATCCTATGTGACTTTCAGATCCAGACAAAGAGGCAGGTACTGGCCAATCAACCAAAAATTGTGGTAGAAGACAAAGAACAGAAGGTGGTGGTGGTGATGATGGATGTAGTGGTGCCAAGAGATAGCAATAACAAGAAGAAGGAGTATGAGAAGCTGGAGACGTACCAGGACCCAAAGAAGGCTCTGGAGGGGATGTGGGAAGTAAAGGCCAAAGTGATCCCCAGTAGTGATAGAAGCACTTGGACCTGTGACTCCTAAGTTGGAAGAGTGACTCCAATAGATCCCAAGAACAACATCATAGCTCTCTGTCCAGAACAATGCAGTGCCAGGATCAGCTTCCTTGAGTTATATAAATAGACTGGATAAAAATCTAAAATTAAATACATTTCCAGCCTTTGCGACAGCCAATTACTTTGCACTTTGATGCATAGGAGAAGGACAAGAAGGCAATGGGGTTGTCGAAAGTTTATACAATGACCATCCCAACAGGTGAGAATGAAGTTAGGAAGCAACAAAGATTAAAACAATTCACAAATGTTACGTGTAGTTAGCAAAATCAGGCTTCCCAAGTAGATTTTCTAGGAATCAAAGAACTTTTGGTAGCTGGTGGATAGCAGTTAAGGTAGTGGATTAGAACCTGTGAGCCACAAATTCAAGTCTATCCTCAGGTATGAAAATGTGCTGAATGATTGGGATCAGTCACTCTCTTACATCACCCTATTTTATAAAGTTTTAGTTAAGGGAATGGAAGAAAGAGAGATCCTACTGTAAAGAAATAAATTTAATAAACAACTGACAGAAGTAGCATGCTTTGACGCAATGAAGGAAGGTGACTTCTTCTGCTCCATTTTCCTTTAGCCAGTGATAGTGATATTGAACCAGGTTACTTAGTAGAGAACAAGCACTGTGGGCTCCTGACATAGAGACATAGAACTCCTAACAAAGTTAATTTCCATCTCCTGGGATGTCTTACAGCAGGGGTCCCAACCTCTGGGCCATGGCCCGTTGGGGACCAGGCCAGGCAAGTGGCAGGTGAGCATGTGAAGCTCCATTTGCGCACGTGGCGTGTGTGCATGCAAAACCATCCTCCCCCCCCTACCCCCGCTCTGCTGCCACTACAACCGCCACCGCTGCTGGTCTGCAGTGCTGGAAAGATTGGGGACCACTGCTTTACAGGAAGGGAGATCATTGGGAAGAAAAAGGAAGAGAAATAACTAGCTTACCTTTGTGACCAATTGCCCAATGGCTGAGCTGGGTAACACGAGATAAAAAAAGCCTGATGCTAAGATGGCACCCAAACACTGGGCTAGAATATAGCTTGAGGCATGCAGGGCATCCAGTTTACGAGTGCACAGGAAGGCCATAGTGAGTGCGGGGTTGACTTGGGCACCACTGATCTTACCAAAGCAGTGTGCCAAACTGATAGCTACCAGTCCTGCAGCAAGGGCTGGTTGGAGCGAAGTAGGCAGCACATCTTTAGGACCAGCGGGGGATGAGGCACCCAGCACTATCCAGACAAAGATAAGGGTGCCTGTGGCTTCTGCCAAAAGGCTACACCAGAACTGACGGCTCTGCAGTTCCTGGAGAGGAAGGAGCAAGGAAAAAGTAAGACACAACTTGACAAAAAAGATTGATAGGTTGTTGAGATATGCCACTAAAATAACCCAATTCAGACAAATACAGTGAGATTATTGCTACCAATCAGAATACCTATGGTCGAACAGATTCAAAGAGATTTTTAAAGAAAAGATTGCGATTTCTGTCTAATTCGATTTGATCCAGCAAAGGTAGGTGCACTGGGATCCTGTCCATTAAAGAAAGACATCCTGACAGGACCTCAGAAGATGCACCTATTCTGCATAATCCCTACCCTCTGGAATGAACTCTTCTATCATGCTCTTCTGGTTGGTTGTATTTTCTATATATTGGTTTTATAGTTGCAAGCTGTCCAGAGTTTTCTGGGAATTGGGCAGACTGTTAAACAAACAAACAAACCCTCAATATAATAGAATAACAATCCAATAGTTGTTCTTGGAGAATATATCTGCTATTACTTCTTTTAATACCTTTGTAATTGGCTCAGCACATTAAAAAATAGCAAAAGAAAATGAAAATACACTTTGAAATAGCTAGAATAGAAATATTCTGATTAATAAAAAGGAAACATCCATTTTAAAAAGGTTTGTCAACTTTTTAAAATTCAACAGTTGAACTTAAATTCTAAATAATGGAAAAGATTGTGCTCGAAGGTAGGAGGGCAAAATACAGGAAGAAGGGTAGAATCTGCTAGGAAGAAAAGAACTCTTGACACTAGAAATAATTCAGAAAAAATAGTGAGTAGATTTATGAACAAATACATTTTTTATAAAAGAAAAAAAGCCAGGTGGGCCAAAAGATAATATGAGATTTGTTCAATTTGTTCAATCTGTCTATGCGGTTACCAGGAATCAAGGTAAACTTGACGGAGTCTTCATCATTACGGTATCTCAACATTTAAAGAGGGATCTCCTTACCTCCCTGATGCCCATGGTGTCCTCCTTCCAAGTCTGATCTGAGCGAAAGAAAGTGCATTGCTGCTGTCATCTAGTGGTTGACCAAACACTGTCCTCTTCCCACATTACCTGCATTCTCGTCCTTTCTTGTTATCAGATAACATCTAAAAGGTGAAGCAGGAAAGAAAAAGAAAATTCTCAAGCAGCAATCTGGTGGTCAGAAGGACTTAATACTGGAGTTTCTGAGATAGTCAAGACATTCCAATAACCTGTTTTTCTTTGGCATGTATCATCAATTTACTTTATGCCCTTGATGCAGCTCCACCAATCAATAACCTACAAGTAGCCTCATCTCTTCCCCTTCCAGCTTCTGGAGTAAAGGAGAGAAATCACTTGGGACAAAAATGTTAGAAATAATAAAATAAATAAATAAAAAGCAAGTTGCCTGGATGTGTGAGTAATGAGTTTCTGGCACATCTCAATAGTAAGTGTCAAGGCAACGGGCTCTTTGAACTTCATCAGGAAGTCATCTGAAGGGGGTTGTCACAGTTACCAGTGTTCCAGCATGGGGTTTATTTTCGTATGATCAAAGGAGGCTGCAATCATATTTCAATGAATTTACATGGAAAATGAATTTTTCACTTTATTTAAGAGGAAAAATCCTACATTAATCAATTAAATATGCTGCAGGGTTTCCAACAGTGTTAGCATAAGAAGCATGTCTAACTGAAAATGCACAGTAGGAACTGAGCAATAATGTATTGTTTGTTTGTTTGTTTGTTTGCATTCAAGTTTAAATACAGCCTATTTTCATCCCCAGAGAGTGCAGAAAAAGGAAGTCAAACTGGGAATAATGAAGCAGTCTCAGCTGACACACCTAGAATTGTAATATCCTGCCTTGAAATACTCCAGAACATCCACCTTCCATATGCATATATATAGTATCCACTTTCCCCCTGATCTTTTGTAGAAATTGACCATGGAATGCTTTTTCTTGGCAGCATTCTGTTATCATTTTTATTACATAATTTTAATATTCATGTTTTGTTTCCTGCGCATTCAAGAAGTCCAAATGTTAACTTGCATCAATGCTTGTTCTTGGCTGTCTTTTATGTAATCAGCCAACGTAAGCCTTTCTTCTTTGACAGTTTCATTGTCTTGAAGTAAACCTCTCAATTTCTGGTGTAATTTATCAATATTGCTATGGGTATGAAGGAAGAGGAAGAGACTTGCATGTAAACTGTAGGTGACAATCAATTGTGTTCTGTATTTCTGCTTTTCTGATCTGTCCTTTAACAGGCCCTCCTTGGGAATTGAGCTGACTATTGATTGATCCCACTAGGTGGGTAGGTCAGTGTCCTGAATATGGATTTAATCCCATTAATTGAGCATCTCTGTCTAGTGGGTCAGAACAAACATGATTGTTATATAGGGCCTAGGGTATAGATGATAGATTTCATGGTATGTTAATCCCATGCTAGAGTCAAACCATTCTATTCATAAGTTTCTCAGCAATTAGACTAATAGTAATAGTAAGATATTGTACTGATTTCTTTTAAAAGTGAATAGCTCTTCTTCAGTGGTCTAGTGCAGGGATCCATATGTGGGCTACTAGTGGGCTGCGAAGTGTTTGCAATTGGGCCAAGGAAACAGCCAGTTGCGTGTGCGGTAGGCATGTGTGCACACCACTCGTGCAAATGGACCTGCGTGCACACTTGCCGGCCACTCACACAGAACCATGCTGTTCCCCCCCCCCCCCCGTCCAGAAATGTTGGAGAACAGTGGTCTAGTGTAAAGTTAATTAGGTTTTAAGGTCTCCTTTTGTTGATGGTTATCACATGAATGGCAGCTCTCATACCTTCTCATACATACCTCCTCCTTTATTCTAGGTTCTTCTCCCAGGCCAATAAACACATTCTTAAGCTCATAACAAGCAGCTTCAATTTTCATCTGTGACTAATAATTTTTTCCATATATCTATTATAAACTGAAGTTGGAATTATGCATCTATCCACAGAATATAAGATCATCTTATATTATTAGCATGATACTATTGCTAACCTATTTTTATGTTGAGTTCTTTCTTAAACTGAAAATATATTTTTGTCCCTATGGGCATTTGACTTTTATTTATAGGCCAACCTTCCAAAATTATTTTTTTAACCACTTGATCTTCAACCTCTTTAATCTGTAGCTTTATATAGTTTTATATAATTTATATAGTTTTAATTGGCATTGAATCAGTCTCTTCACCTTTTCCAAAACTAGGCAGGAAGACACAATTCAGTGCATCTTCCAACATAAGGGCTTCTCCCAGACAGTATCAGTTCTCAGTTTATTTCTATAAGTGTGTACCATCATATCCTTTACTCATTTCAGTGTGCTAAAGGGGGACAGCTGTTATAATTATCTCTGCTCTGTGCTTTGGTTTCAGGGCCCATAATTGTTCACACTCTTGTTCTGTTGCTGACAAGCCTCTGTTGCCTGTTCAGTGTATTGCTTCTGGTAAAGAACAGCATTCAATGCATCATAATGTAGGTAGTATTTTAGAACAGGGACATTACAGACCTAAACTCTCTGTTGTGGGTCTAATTGTCCCCACTATATAGTCTGTTTTGTCAGCTGGTATACAGTAGTAGCTCTTCTTTGATTGCCAAATGGAAAGAGAAATTTGGCAAGAAATTATTCATTCCATAAAGCACAACACAGTACTCCAATTCTATTGGTAGCATATTCCAAATTGCTTCAAATTGATTTTATTTATGTAGAATACTTATTTATCACAGAGGTTTTTATACTATGTTAATAATCAAGACTCTAAGCAATTCATAGCAACATAAAAAGCATTGGAACAATAATCATGCAAATCATAATATTTAATAATAATTAAAAATTATTGTTGTTGTTGCATGTTACTCAGTTCTACAGCATTTGAGTGGCTTATAAATACTGTAAATAAATACAGGCAGTCCCTGAGTTATGAACGAAGTCCGTTCCTAGGTCTGTCTTTTAAGTCAAATTTGATGGTTTGTGGAAACAGTTATTTAGCATCAGTCAAATGTTTGTCTTAATATATATTTTACCATTTTATGGCCATAAAACACTTAAGAAACACTTTTGGAACCTTTTAATAACTAATTCCTGATAGAAACCCTTTCTAGAGCAGCCATTTCTGTACGAATCAATCTTCTGAAGATAGGAGAGGCTCCTTTGAATATGAATAGTTCTTACTTTTGACAAAGTATGTTAAACTTTGTCTAGCAGGTTGCTATAAGATGGGGGGGGAGAGTCAAACTGTGGTAACCCCAACCATGCAATCAAACACCTTTTTATGTGCATATTAAAAAGGAGTGGGATCGTTTTACCTTCTTTAAAACCCTCCTGTTTCCCAGTATAGTGGGGAAGAGGGAATGGCCTTGAAGGCAGGAGGAAGAGCTGCCTTCAAGTGGATTGAAGCTGGGCCAAAGATACATGAGAAAACATCTCAGACAAGCCGCTCCCAAGCTCACATGAAGATAGAGGAAGGGAGGGAGAAGCACATTCAGATGCTGTTGCAGTACAATAAAAGTAGTCCTGACCTACATGGCATTGGTTTCTTAATCTGGTATACCTTATTAGGCTGACATCTGGAGACCTCCCTGCTTCCCCCCCCCCGGCTCCCCAAAGAGTGTGGCTGCTTCTGTCTTAATTGAAGGAGGAAGGAAATGTACCCCAATATCCAAAGTTCACTATTAGGCCTGTCCCCAGAGGAAACCTGTACTTGAGGGCAGCTCAGATTAGGCAGCAACAGGAGCGTTTACCTCAACAGCTATTGGAAACTGAGAGGCTCCAGCCTTTGCTTGCCATGTTGTTTGTTGTCATGTCAGCAACTGACTCAGCAAAAGCAAGGTCTGGTGCTGACCTCTGGCTGACCTAGGTTCCCCCATCTCTCTGTTTGTCCCCTTTCTGTGCCTGGTCTTTGCTGACTTACTACAAACAGCTAGAACAATCCTGTCAGTGAAAAGGTAGCAACCAAAGTCATCCATCCCACACCCTATTGCAGTCATGTGTCCTTGTTGCATTGAATTAGGGTTTAGTGGAGACTCGGAAAGCCACAAGGAAAACGAAGGGAGCAATTCTGAAACCACCCACCGGAAAATAGAGGTAAAAATGAGGTTGCCAAACATTTTCAAGAACTTGGAGTAATATTTTCCACATTAAATCTGTAATACCAGGGAACACCAACAAAAGAACACCTCTCTCTGGAACAACATTCCCCCAGAGATGAGAATGGCCCCCACTCTAATACTCTTCTGGAAGACGCTGAAGACTTGGTTCTGCCAGCGGGCCTGGGGAACCCAGAGCGGGATGGATCCCATTAAATGGATTGTGTGAGGTGCTGTCGCCGGGGTGGGGTATATGTGATTTTAGTATATTTATTTATTATATGACTTATTACTTTTATTATTTTTATATGGGGTTTCATATTCTGTAAGCCACCTTGAATTGCCATGTGCAAATAGGCGGCAATATAAATTCCATAAACAAACAAACAAAAGACTTCTAAATCAAAAGTTGGTGTCTTCCTGACAAAGGTGAGTTCTGATACTCATGAGAAATGAGTATTGCTATATATTCTTTCAAGAGAATCAATGCTATTCAAGGTGCATAAAAAAGTAATATGCCAAAGAAATCAAAAGCATAATACAAGAAAAAGGAAATCTAGCTAAATCTAGTTTACCCCCATACCATTCACTACACCGCTACATATCAATGTTCTTCAGCACCATAATTCCAAGGTACAGTACCCATTTTCTTTGTTTAGCCTTACTGATGATCCAGCTTTTATAACTACATAGTATAAGGATAAATTATGGCTTTGATAGTAGGTGTATTTATTGTCACAGTGATCTTTCTGCAGTTTAATATTCTAAGTTGCTTACATACACAATTACCATGTGTTTTGTTGCAAACATGATTTATTTTATTTATAAGATTTAGAGGTCATCATGCTACCAAACTGCTTTGGGTGGCTTACATTTAAAAAGCAAGAAACAATAAATACAAAAATACAGAAAATCTATTCCAGAAGACAAATCATCTATAACAAACATAAGATATCCAAGGCCTAGGAGAATAACCAGGTTTTCAATGACCTTCTGGACATCATACTCTGGGGAGATGCTGTTCCAGAGGACAGGTGCTGAGACAGAGAAGACAGACTTCCTATGTACCAATAGATGACATGTACCAATAGATGTTTAATTCATAAGACTTGAATCATACCCTCTCTGATCTTACCAGAAAAGCAGAAACTATTGACATTGGTGGTCAGGTCCTATGACAGGAAGAGCTTAACAGATGGTAACCAGCATTTTGAATTACACGCAAAAGCTGACTGGAGATCATTGCATGTCATGGAGCAGTTGCTGTCATGTGGCTATTCTAAGGCCAGTGGTGGGATTCAGCCAGTTCGCACCACTTCGGGAGAACCGGTTGTTAACTTTCTGAGCAGTTTGACAAACTGGTTGTTGGAAGAAATCATTAGGGCAGAGAACCGGTTGTTAAATTACTTGAATCTCACCCAGGGATGAAATGCTCCCAGTTCAAACCGGATCGCCCAATCCGGTAGCGATGGCGGCGGCTGGTTCAGCGGACCAGTAGCAAAAATCCCTGCCCCCCCCCTCCCTTCATGCCCGGCTGAGCCACACGATCATCAGAGGATTTTTTTTTTTTACTTTTAAAAGCATTTTTTCTACAACCTCTTCCGACGAAAAAATGCTTTTAAAAGTAAAAAAAAAAAGCCTCTGATGATCGTGTGGCTCAGCTGGGATTGTCAGAGGCTTTTCAAAGGATTTTTAAAAAAGCCTCTCTGATGATCCCAGCTGAGTTGCCTGATAGGCAGAGGCTTTTCAAAGCATTAGAAAAAATGCTTTAAAAAGTTAAAAAGAAAAAAAGTTGGCCACACCCACCCAGTCACATTACCCCCCCACCAAGCCACGCCCACAGAACCGGTAGTAACAAATTTTACATTTCACCTCTGATCTCACCACCCCTGATCTCACCCCCCCGGTCTACTATCTGCCCCTTACTACCTGCCCCTCCATATTCTAGACCTGTTGTAGTTTCAAAGTGATATTCAAGGGCAGCTCCATGTAAAGCACATTGCAATAGTGCATTTGTGAGGTGACTGGAGCATGAGTTTGAAGGGCCTCCTAATCTAGGAACAGACATAATTGATGCATTAGATCAGGGGTGTCAAACTGGCGGCCCACAAGCTGGATACATCACACGCAGGCCATGACCACCCCAGATCCGTAAATGGGGAAAACGTCAAGAAATGTCACATGATGGCAATGGGACGGGGCGAGTTTGACATCCATGCATTAGATGAGGAGGTCCTCTTGGCTACAGCTGTTAACTGCTGTTTTGAGTTGGAATTGTAAATTCAAGATGACCCTCAGATTGTGCACCAATCTCAAATGGAGAAGCGTCCCAAGTATTACAAGAACGTGCACATTCGGGTGAAGTGGATTAATTTTGTAGAAAGCAAGAATTTTGTTATTTTCTATATAATATTGTATTTTTATACTGCCACACATTACAGTGTACATGTAACACCCATACCCACATTACTGTACTGTAACAGTGATACCCCAAATCCTCCAATTGAAACCGCATGCACTGATATATAAAATATCTGCATATCTTCAACATTTAGTTGTTCAGAGATGTGGGGCAAGTCGGAGGAAGATTCATGTATCTCAGAACTATAATACTCTACTACACTATGTATGTAGAGCTTCTGTTTGGGCTGTTGTGCTTAGATTATCTTTGGATAAGGGCAAAAATGTGGACTAACAATGTTTGTCATTTCCATGCTAATGATTTCTTGCACTCTATAGCATTCTCCAGCCATTGCTGTGCAAATATATCAGTAATGAGGACAGGCTTTGTATCGCCCTGGTGTTGGCTGGAGGATTTTATGTTATATATCTCCAGTGCCTTGTCAAATTATCATAATGAAGCATGCACAATGAATATTAAAAGATCTATCCAGAAGAAGCTGCTGCTTTACTAAATTATTTCTTTCCAGGATGAAAGGATTAATTATTCTTCATACACAATACTGCTTCTTGCATGCAGCCCATGGGAAAAAGGAATAAATTGCTGTTGAATTCATTTAACACTAGTTCTGCTAGCCAAAGCAAGAGCAAGCTGTACATTTCTAGTTGTTGATTCAGCAAGAAACCAGTTAAAAAGTTGTAGTACAATCCAGTCCCTTAAATCCTGGAAGATTTTTCTAGGGCTGCCAAAAGTCACCATTCCTTTCTTTAAAAGATTTCTTCATCAAAAGAGTCTCACTTCCTCCCACCCCCACAGAAAATGAACATCTTGAGGGAGTAATTCATGTTGGAAAAAGAGCACAAAGAAATTCTCATAGTGCAACAATCCTAGAATATATGAGTTAGGTTGAACTTTATAAATCATGTAATCCAATTTTCTACTCTATGCAGAATTCTAGGTGATCCTTCACAAATGCTATCCAGTTGTATTTTAAAAACCCACAAGGGAGCTCATCCCTGTTCTGTGCACATCAGGGGCCCCAACCTCCAAGTGTTAGGAACCAGGCCGCAGACCTTAGTAAAGCTACATCTGTTTATACACAGGGTCTAGGTAGGATGCAAAACAATCCCCCTCTGCTGCCCCCTCCCCCCATCTATGAAAAAATTGCCTTTTTCAGAAACCAATCCCTGCTGTGAAAAAGATTGGGAACTGCTGAAGTAGATGATTCCATTGTTTAATCAGGAAATTCCTCCTAATATTCAGGCTGTGTCCCCTTTCTTTTAATTTCAGCAGGTTGCTCCTTGTCCTACTTTTGATTTCAACATAGAAAAAGCCTGCCTCTCTCTTGCATATGATAGCCTTTAGATCAGTGGTGAAATCCAAATTTTTTTACTACCGGTTCTGTGGGCGTGGCTTGGTGGGCTTGGTGTGGTTTGGTGGGCGTGGCAGGGGGAGGATATTGCAAAATCCCCATTCCCTCCCCACTCTTGGGGGAAGGATATTGCAAAATCTCCATTCCCACCCCACTCTGGGGCCAACCAGAGGTGGTATTTGCTGGTTCTCCGAACTATTCAAAATTTCCGCTACCAGTTCTACAGAACCTGTCAGAACCTGCTGGATTTCACCCCTGCTTTAGATGTTTTAAAGTAATGTTTTGCATTTGGTTTCTCTTGGGCAAGCTAAACATGTTCAGGGCCTTTAATAGTTGATCATTTTGGCAGCTCTCATCTGAATCCACTCCAGTTTCTCCAAATCTTTTAAGAGATGGTGTTCAATACTCTAAGGGTGATCTAACCAGCACACTTTGCAAAGGAATTATTAATTCTGGGAATGCAATACTTTTTTATAATACAGCCTTTGCTCCATCACACTACTTCATGTTGGCTGGGGTCCACCAGTATTTCCTAGGTCTTTTATGTATAATATTGTCCCTTCCCTTCCTTTCCCTTATCCAACACACATTCCTTTCCTTCTATTTTTCCCAAACAACAACCCTGTGTGGCGAGTTGGGCTGAGAGCGCACAAACCGGCCCATTTTATAATCATCCCCTAACTTGAATTACATAATTTTGCTTTAGGAAAACAAAAACTGATCCTTCCTCCAGACATTCAATTTCCTAATGAATTTACAAGATGGAAATTGAGGTATTGGGCAATATATTTTTGGCTATGAGGCCAAGGATCAAATACAATATTATGATCTTTGGTTCCCAAGTTTAATAATTCTTTATACAGATTTTTAGAAAAACCTTGCGCCCATTTAGACAAATGTGTTTTTCACATTTATTATATTATATTAATAGAACTGCTGGATTTTCAGACACAGTATATTTTTTTTCTGATACAGGTAGTACAACAGTTCATTTAGTGTTTGTTCAAAGTTACAATGGCACTGATGAAAGTGACTTATGATCATTTTTCACACTTACGACCGATACAGACTCCCCATAGGTCACGTGATTTACATTCGGAAGCTTGACAACTGATTCACATTTATGACGGTTGTAGACTCCTGGGGTCCCCTTTTGTGACCTTCTGACAAGCAAAGTGAATGTGGAAACCAGATTCACTTAACAATTGTGTTACTAATTTAAGAACTGCAGTGATTCACTTCACAAATGTGGGGAGAAAAAATGGAGCACAACTCACTTAACAAATTTCTCACTTAACAACATAAATTTTGGGTCTCTATTGCGGCCCTACGTTGAGGACTACCTGTATTCCAAACCATAGAAGCATGTCCTTCCTTCTTTCCTTATCCTTTTAAGATTTTTAATCATTTTGTCTGATGAAATTATGACAAAACTCCAGTTTGCTTTTTAACCTACTGTAGATTTAAAGTGGATATAAACTTTTTTTCTTCTCTCTCTCTTTCTCTCTCGTAAAACGGCCTACTCTTAACAAGCCATTCATCGAGCATTTAATCAATGTAGGCACGTGATGCCAAATAGTCCATTGGAAAAGAAGCTTCTTTTCAGATTAAAATGGCTCCGCAGGGATGTTTTTTGAAGATGCCGCGCCCTAAAATAAGATGGCGGCCCCTAAAACGCGTTCGGTATCCACAACCCAGCCCTTTGAATTTCAAGATGGCGGTTATGATCTATATGTTGGCTCAGTTATGCCCGCCTCCAAGATGGCTCCCATATTTATCTTCAGACCGCCAGTTTCACGTGACTTATGAATTACAAGATGGCGGCGCCCATCCTGAGAGGCGTGAGAGGTCAGGGCTGGGGTTTGTGCAGTTTCGGATATCGCCAGATGTTCCGGAGAGGTAGAAAATTTTGTCCTTTGCCTAATAGAAAACTGACTGGTGGCAGTGAGCGGCTAACGCTGCAGCCAACACTTCCACGGTTTCTTTCGTTCCTTCAAGACTTTGGCCACGTGTTTCGCACTCCGACTTACTCCTGTAAAATGCTTCTGTGCTTTTCTGTAAAAATCTCAGCGTTTTCTGTTGAATATTCCAGTCACGCTGCTGTTTAAAGTTACACGCAATATTTAAATTGAGGATGCATGGACGTTTTTTTCTGCTAGTGGGATCCGGTCTTTTATAAGCTTTTATAGTCTTTTGAAAATTAAAGGATTTGATCCGACAATAATTTTTGTTGAGGCGAATATCAGTTTACTTCTTTTAGTAGCGAGATTATTGGCAGAGCTCCAGGATTGAATAGGCAAAGGGGGAAAGAGTGCAGATTTTTCTAGTTTGGGAAAATGTGTATTCTTCAAGTGAATGTGCAAATCCTCACATGTGAACTGAACCTTCTCATAACCATCTTAAGTTTCATTGCGATTGTTTCCAAGTAAGGTTGCTTAGAGAGGTTGTATGAATATTAAAGCATTTAATTAAATGTTCTCTTTCATTTTTTGTAATGTGTTATGAACCACACAGAATTTCATCTGTAAAGTGGATATCCATAACAATTCATTTGCAAAATAAAATTCTTTATTTGGTGACAGAAAGTGAAATTTCAGTGGGATGTAACCGTAACTCTTTTTAAATATTAAATGTTTGTTATCAGACAATGAATGCCTTGCCATTGCTTCTCAATACTGCTACGTTTTCGTAAGTTATACTTCTCTGCTCTACATTTCACTTGTTGGACTGTGAGCTGTCAAGAATCATTGAGTCAGCATACAAGTTTTAAAAATTTATTTATGTAAGATTTGGGCACAGTTGGGCATTCCACTCCAAAATATTGAATTAGTATATTAGTATATTGAATTAGTATATTAGTATACTCCAAATTAGTATATTAACAATTGCAGCGCTTGTGGGAATCAATCCTACAGGAGATATAGGTTCTTGATAAAGCTTACTATTAACGTATTGCCATTTAGTTGGATGCCATTTTCAAACATATTTGGTTTAATTTTAATTATTAAATCTTTAAAACTGTTGGTTACATATGTACATATTATAGCAAGCCTTTTCTGAAATAATTTAGTTATAAAATGCAGATGCATAATTTTAAGGAAAAATATTTTTGAACTATAACTGCAAACTTAACTCAACCAGCTAAGTATATTTAATTGAATGAAAAGGATGCATTTGCTAAACTAATTATCATGTATTACAATTTTCCTGGTCCCATACCTTCCTGATACTTTGAACTGGAACTCCTAGACCTCTTGGCCTTTGGCTATGTTAGCTGGGAATTCAGGGTGTTCTCAAAGCATCTGAAGGACACCAAATTGGAAAGGCTAGTTAGCCAAAATATAACATCATTGAATGATTAATAGAAATGTGCCACTGTCAACAGGAGTTGGTAAATTGTTTATCTAGTTAGGAAGACAATTCTTAAGAACAAAGGAGTCACATATAAAGGTAAGCCAAAAGTTTGGTCCTTATACATATTTTTTCTTATTTCAGAGATCAGTTTCAAATTAGATGAGAAAACAGCCCACAGCAGCTTGGATTTATTCAAAAAGGACACTGGGGTCCTCTATCGCATGCTGGGAATTGACCCCACCAGAGTGCCTCAAAACCCTGAACGCTTCAGAGACTGGGCTGTAGTTTTGGGTGACACCACCATCTCCAGGGGCTGCCATTACTGGGAAGTGACTGTGAAACGATCACAACAGTTCCGCATTGGGGTGGCAGATGTGGACATCTCCCGTGAAGTGTGCATAGGAATGGATGACAATTCCTGGGTCTTTGCCTATGGGAATCGCGGCTGGAATGCCATGTTTGCTAATGAAACCACTCCAATCACTAACATTGGCCAACCAGAAAGAGTCGGCCTATTCTTGGACTATGACCGCAAAAGATTCAGCTTGATAGATATACGACAACACATGTTTATCCACAATACGTCGCCAGAGTTCCGAGGTCCGGTGGTGCCTGCCTTTGCCCTCTGGGATGGTGAATTGCTCACTCACTCAGGCCTGGATGTACCCGAGAAGCTCAAGCAAAATTGAAATCTATTCAAGAGTATTGATACTGAGATTTTTTTTTTCTGTTTCCTTGCCTTTTATGAGTGAAATTTGGCATCCTTTACTTGTGCCATATTTATCTTGCACTGCTATTTTGGTTTTGTCAGGAAAGGGTTGCTTAAAAAAATGAGCTTTCTTAAGGCAGCAATTGTTTATGTAATCAATTGCACCATTTGATACCTTACCTCATAGGCCTCTAGTTCTGTAGGAGTCAGGACATTCTCTTTTCCCACTATGTTGCAGAACCATTCCAGAAATTGTTCTGCCTCAGGACAGTCAAAGAGCCAGTCAGTCATTACCACAAAGAGTCTTGGGGTAGACGGTTTACAAGACTTCTACAAATTCTGTTCCTGTCAATGGCCTCCATCAGGAAAGCTCTGGAGCAACCATTCCAGAAATTGTTCTGCCTCAGGGCCATCAAAGAGCCAGTCAAAGTCATTCCCACGAAGAGTAGTTGCCTTGGGATAGATGGTTTTCAAGATCTCTACAAATTCTGTTCCTGTAAATGACCTCCATCAGGAAAGCTCTGGAGCATCTCTGTGTGAATATGTTTGGATTGTTCCTCTAACGGACCACTTTATGCCTATCAAAATGGAAATCTCCTTCAAATATCTGAAAGCTTGAGCAAATACTTCTAACAGGAAAAGGAAATCTTAAAGATTTCCATTTTGATAAGAACAATGATTTTTAACACAAAGGATCTATTGCCTCCTGCTGGTGGGGTCGGAGGACAAAATTAGCTTGGAATTAAGCAGATGGCATCTCAGGACCAGTGAAAATCCAACTCTCCTGAATTCATAAACAATACTGTGCACAAATTAATGTAGGAATTACTTTATTAATACCAGCCCCAGATTATCCTGTGTTAGATTGGTTGAAAGAACAAGAATCGACCCAATATACATCTGCAGTTACATATATTCATCAAAAAGGAATGATAAAGAATTTGCTTCAGTTTATTAGAATCACCATAATTAAAATTAGCTGAAATCAACAAATATTTAAGCAGTGTTTTCTTTTTCTTGGTGTTGGATGTAGCAAGAGCAGTTCTGTATACTGTGTAAAAATAAAAGCATCTAAAACAAAATGTTATTTTATCTGGACTTCTGATTGCAAATATCCACTGTTAGGAAATGCACACAGTAGTTAAAATATCTAGATGCATAAAGTAGCCTACCATCTTGTTGGCAGCAACATTGAAACATAGCACTGTACTGCTTCAAGGTTTCAGTTTTTCCTGTTCCATAGTGATTGATTTATGACAGGTATTTTGCCATTCTATTCCAAAATAGCTGAACACTTTTATTGGAGCAGTAAAGCAGCTGCTGAAAAGAGAGGTGCAGGAAAAATGATGGTGCCATTTCAAGCAGCTGATGGAATGTCTTATGCCACGTTAGAAGGACATTGCAAGATTGCACATATTAGCCCTCAAGCAGGACTTATTTCCTGTGTGGTAATGAATGTGCTTAGGATCGGGCAGTAGTTTTCTATATATAGGGGTAATGACTGAACCTGGAAGTATCTTTCCCCATACTTGTGATTAAGTTTTTGGAGAGGAGGAGAGAAATGACTGATTGGAGTGTGAACAAGTGTTTGAAGTAGTAACCCAAAATATGAGAGAGCAACAGTGTAGATAAGCTATTTCCCCATTTTTGCTTTCCATTCTGGTGCTTGTGTAAATTATTTTTAGCTTCTTGAGTTTGGCTTTCTCAAAATGGAGGTTTGTGAGTGGTTGCAAGTATCATAGCAGTCATGTTGTAACTGTGCCTGTAACATGTTGATAAAAAAATTCAATTATCCAGTAGAGTTGTCTGAAGGTTGTCTGAATCATTGCAACTGGACTATTTTGTTGTTAGTCTGAGAGATGTTTGTGCATGAAACACTTTCAGTATTCAAATGTTGAAGAGATTGGAGACTTGAAAACTCCCTACTGGTTGTTACTTAGGCCCTCTGCAAGTTAATTTCGTCCATAAACCCTTGGACTTTCCTTAGAAGCTAAGACAAAGGCTTATTAACCATGCCTTCTTGATTTAAAAGTGTTAACATCATTACCAATTTAATATCTCTTTAACATGCCAATGTTAAATTTATCCCAATTGCTTGAGATAAATGTGTACAGGTAGTCCTCGACTTGCAACCACAATGGAACCCAAAATTTATGTTGGCTAAGCAAGATAGTTGTTAAGTGAGTTTTGCCCCATTTTATGACCTTTCTTGCCACACTGTTTAAGTGAATCACTGCAGTTGTTAAGTTAGTAACACGGTTGCATGAATCTGGCTTCCCCATTGACTTTGCTTATCAGAAAGTCGCAAAAGGTGACTGCATGACCCTGGGACACTCCAACCATCATAAATATGAATCAGTTGCCAACCATTTCAATTTGGATCACGTGACCATGGGGATGCTGCAATGGTCACAAATTACTTTTCTCGGTGCCTTATAACTTTGAACGTCAGGTAAATGAACTGTTGTAACCCAAGAAATACCTGTATCTTTCTGCTGCATGTGCCTTACATCGCTGTAATTCATTTCTTAAATGCCACAATGAGGGTACTAAATTAAAAGAAGTTGTGCAGTGTTATACTGAAAAGTTTTGCTCCCAAGTGAAGAATATATTGTATGGCTTCTAGCAAGCAAGGCAGACCTGGGAAATGCATAGACTGCATCCCCTTTTTGTAGCCCCCACCATTCTATCAAATCACACAATCAACATTTGGCATCATGCTTTTTTTTTTTTTAATGGAAACGAGAAGCAGAATAGATGCACTAAATTTCTAATTTGGTCATCAGTTACTGGGCTTTAAAAATCAATTCCCTAAAAAGCAACAGTTATATCTCTACACCCTCCAGTGGCACAACTGTATTATGAGGTAGCTCTGCAGCCTTTCCAGATGGTGTGGGTGTAGGAAAGGGAATGTAAGCTGTAATAGCAGAAATGGTTGACTAGTTTTGAAGGTGGGGACAGACCAGTGCTGGGTTACCCCTGGTTCACACCGGTTCTATAGAACCGGTAGTAAAACCGGCGGGAAGCTCCGCCCACTGACCCTGATGTCATCAAAATGCTTCTGCGCATGCGCGCCCCCCCATTGCAAACCGGTAGTAAAGGTAAGTAGAACCCACGCCTGGGACAGACAAAAGTCAATTCCTTAAAAACATTACAAGTATGTTTTCCCTTCTTGCTTAAATAGCTATTGGGGGAATGGTTGGACAAGAGAGAGAATAGATTAATAGTGAAGGAAATGAAAACATTCATTGTGGAGGCTTCATTAAGTTACAAAATTGAAGGAGATAGGAATTGAACCCTTTTTCCTTAAATGTGTTCAATATTTATAGTGATAACTACTTTGGATTTTATCAGGCAACCCAAAATGTCAGTTGAGCATTCTTTTTCTCCTTTTTTTCTGCAGCTAAAATTTGTTTCTCACAAAAAGTTACTAACTCAGTTCCTGGGGATTTTTATCAATTTTACTTGTACTGTCAAAGGGGAGTACTGAACTTTCATACAAGGTTCACCAGAGAGAGTCTCCTGTACAAGACAGTTATGGAAAAATACAACTCCGCATTGCTCAACCGGATGGAGTACTTGGAATGAGGAGAATGTAGTTTCTCTCTATATATGTCTCTTCTTGTTCAAGTTCTTAGCAGGGCTTAACAAAGCAATTATAAAAAACTACCATTCTCACACCATACTTTCCAAATTCTCCTTGGAGAGATCCTCAGCTGCTTCCTTGGCCTGTCTGGAACCCAATATGTAGCTTTCTTGATAATCCTTGAGCAACTTCACCACTTCCAGGTGATGAAACTGGATGGCATCATCTAAGGCAATGTTTCCCCATCTGCAAAGAAGGCAACACTATGAAGATTTGTATATTGTAATCCAGTAGTGGGTTCCTCTTACTTCGCTACCGGTTCAGAACTGGGAGTGTGCACTCACATGTGACGCTTCTGCACATGCACAGAACCTTTGCACATGCATAGCGTGTCCGTGATAATGTCTGGGTGGGTGGGCGGCGCCTCCTGCCACCACCACTACCGGTTCGCCCGAACTGGGGCAAACCGATAGAAACCCACCACTGCTGTAATCGCTGTCTATTGAAAGCAGCTTTTCTCAGCCTGCTGGCCTCTAATGGGTTGAGGCTATAACTCTTGTAATTTCTAACCAAAGGCCATAATGATTAAAAACCCTAGGAACTATATTTCCCAACATATGCTGAAGATGCCAGAATGGAGAAGACTGTTCCAGGTGCTGAGGAACAACCGAAAGCTTGAATCACCTCTTTCTCAACTAAGCAGGTCAAAAAGTAAATATTTGTGTATCAGGTCAATATTGGCTTAAAATTAGGACAATTTATATGCCTCCCCCAAAGTATTACGTTACAAGATTATTTTATATTATGTTATGAAATAAAGATCACTATTAAGACTTCCGGTTTGCTGTTTGTTGCTGCCAGACGTTCCTTTGAGATCGTCAGCTTCCACCGCCTGTCAGAGCCGCCTTCACAACGGAATGGCGGCTCGAAAAAACTCCGTTTCCATGAGGAAACGGAGATAGAGCCGGCAGGGGTGGGTAGAACTCTCTGCGGAGTCCCAAAAGTTTTTCCTTTACTTTTGGGACGGAGCGGATGAGATGCCCCGTATCCCCAGCCGCTGCTCCGGGCTTTGGGAGACCTCTGCTGATGCAGAGCCAGGCGTCAAAAGCAAGCCTGCAAATTTAACAGATTACTCAAAGAAATGTGAGCTGGACCTGTAATACTGAACCGCAAGTATTTTACTGATTTTAAAAAAAAAAAATTACTTAAGAGAGAGGAGGAAAAGAAAGAGGGAAAAAAAGCCTTTTAAAATGGCGTCGGCTGGAGGAGAGGCTGAAAGGGAAAGTCCTTCCGTTTTCTATTACTACAATGTAGCGGAATAAATACCACTGGCTACATTTGTAGACAAAACTTCGCTCCTGTGTCTTTTTCTCTTTTTCTTTCCCTTGGAGATCTGATATTGTTGTTGACTGGAAAGAAGTCTTTCTTGCTTTTTTTTAACAAAGCCTGCCTGGGCGGAAACATGGCACTGAGACTCATAAAGTCAGATAAACAAGAAGGGGGGGGGATTCCCCCACCAATAATTTAAAGGAACAAGTCTTAACTCTTCAGTCTCAGAAACCTGATTTTAATATAACAGAATTTTTTATAGAGGAGATTGAAAGAAGGGAGGAGATTGTGAATCAGCAACTTGAAAAATTTAAGCAGGAAATTAAAGAAATTAAAGAATTGGTGAAATCTAAGTTTGATTCTTTGGACAAAAAATTCTCAAAAGTGGTTAATGGTTTTACAGAATTTATGATACAGTTGGACACAAATACTAATGTACTAGAGTCTAAAATGGAAGAAATTCAAGATAAATTGGACAATAGAATTCAAAAAATTGAAAATGATTTGATAAACACTCAGGATAATAGCTTAGAAGAAAAACCTAAAATGGATGCTGATCAAAAGTATGGTAATGCAGAAAATCTGCAACAGAAGATTGAAAAAGAGATTTTAATGGTACAATATAATTTCACAGAATATGCGATAAGATTAAGAGGTTTGCAGGAAAATAATAGAGATGATTTAAGGAAAATATTTTCTGAATTTCTAGCTGGGATTCTAAAGGTTCAACCTGACGAAGTGTTTTGTAGGATTGACAGAGTTTATCGAATCAACTCCTGGATTGCCAAGCAAAGGCAATTGCCTAGAGACGTGGTGATTTATTTTACAGATAAGGAAATTAGGAATAATATCGTGCAAAATTCCTTCAATTCTAATTTGTAATTGTATGGAAGAAAGATTTGGATTTACAAGGAACTCCCACCTAAGATATTGATGGAAAGGAAGAAATTTGGTTTTCTGGTGAATGAGTTAAAAAAGAGAAATATTTCATTCAGGTGGGACGCCCCAGTTGGTATTATATTTAGATACCAAGGAGAAAGATATCAGCTAAATACTGTTGAAAGAGCAGAAGAATTTTATCAAAATAGGTTGAAAATGAACTTAACATCTTCAGGTATAATACAGGATAAGCAGAAGGAGCGGGAAATAAAGGTAAAATATCGAATTATAGAGACTGTACCAGATGAATTGCCTTTGGATTTATTGGATACCCCAGCTGGACTATCTACAAATTTGAGAGAAGTGGCATCTAATTTTAATGTGATGACTTATCAAGGCAAGGATAAGCATGGAAACCTACTAGGGGATATACAAGGGATAAAAAAGAAACATGAGATACAAAAACAAAACCAACAAGACCAATCTACAAAGCAGAATAAAAACCGACCAGATGATACACAATTTGTAGAAAGGAAACCAGGATGGAAACCAAACCCACAAAAAGAAAAGAAAAAGAGAAATAGGTGGCATAAAAATAGAAATTTTTAAATTAGGCAACAGTGAAGCCAGTGACTTTAAAATATGAATGATTATGTGTAAACATAGAAGAGGCGACGTATTGGTTAATATTATCCTGAGGATTGTGGCAGATCTCTGCATGGCCGTAATTTGGGGACGTGAAATGAGCCTTAAACTGATGGATTTGAATTATCCATTTTGGAATTTCTCTTTGTGTTGATAAACATATTATATTATCTTGAATCACAAGGCAAGAGAATGATGTTGGGGCATGCAGAAGATCGGGTTGTTACCCACTACGATGATGGGAATTAATAATCCTGATGAAACCCACAATTATTACTATATGGAATATAATTATAATGTCACTCGGGTGGTTGTTTTTACTTTTATACATATAAGAAGATATTTACTACTGATGGGGGCAGATATGATTGAAGATCCTGAATAAACTGTTGCACCAGCAAGCTATGTTACCCGATTATGGATGTTGGTTCTACCAATCCAGTGGAAAGACCTCAAAGAAGATACTATATGGATTATAAATTTAAAGTCATTGTCTTTTCTTTTTTTTTATTTAGATATAATGGAAAATATAGACATATATTTTTAAGTAGTGTGGGCAGTGAATCAAAGATATTAAGAAATGTTGTGTATGGTAATTTTGTATGATAGTGGGTGAATAAGCTAGTTAGTAGATTGATTAGTCTAAGAAAAGGGATTTTTAAGTGATATATTTAGGGGAGTGGAGGAAATGGATAGAGTGGAATAAATGTTAAACTAGATTTTATGGGGAAGGCCGCTTTGAAATGTTATAGTAACATATATAGAAGATTAAATGTTAAAGTAGGACTTATCGTATAGTTTTAAAGTGGAGAAGTTATTCTATAATGTTATAGTATAATGTCTTTTTTTTTTCCTTTCTTTTCTCTTTTCTGAAATGTATGGATAAAGGGGGATGTTATAATATTAATAATATTTTTAGTAAGTAAAGGTCAATATCTAGAGGAGGGAGTAAGTAATCTGTTATGAATTAGGTTTTTTTTTTGTTATGAAGAAGTCACAGGGGGGGATGGGTGGGGAGGGGGGGTTAGGGAGGGGGAGGGAGAGGGGGAAAAAAAAGGGGGGGGAAATTTGTATTTGAAAACTTTTTCAATAAAAAAAAAAAGATCACTATTAAAACAAGTAGGGCTTTTTGTTTCTGGAGTATCAAATCATATTGCATTGCACTAGGTAGGAGAATGTAAGTTTTTAGGCCATTAATGTTCAATGAAAATCTTTCTCCCAAAAGCATGATATGCCAGGTGATAACATTTCCCCAAAGTTATGGCACACCTTATTGGCACAAGGAATCTGACAGTTTTAGTACTGTTATGGCAGTTCCTAATGTACCAGGGAAAAATATAATAAGAGACTTGTCAACATCTGACTCTAAATTAACAGAGTATGCTAAATTGAAACAACAAATTAGACCTAAGTTTAGCAATATATGAACCTCCTTTCTACTCTGGATCATTAACGGTAATGCATCCTTTTGATACAACGAAAGGTGAGAGAAGCTAAATTACAGTTGAGGCCTTTAGGTATGCACAGATGTCACGATAGTTGCATCAGACTAAACTTTATTATGTTGACAGTTCTGTTCCAACAGAGGCTAACCAGCCCTAAAATAAGTTATCAGTATGCAAACTTCTTGAGTAACAAGAACAAGAAACTGACCTGATCAAGGAGTTCTAGACAGAGAAAGGGGAAATGTATTATAGGCAGTTCTGTTGGAAGCTGAATATGGTCCCTGTCTAGCATAAGGAGAAGCTGGGTCTAAGATTTTATAATTCTGTACGTAAAAAGCAAGATCTTGAATCTGTAATTGTCAGCCCATTTGTTCCTCACCTGTCCTTGACAAAAGGATTGACTCTGCAGGCCTCCATCAGAAACTTCACAACCTCCAAATGTCCTGTGGAGAATCATACAACTGGAACAATTTAAAAAGAGTTTCTTCCTCTATCTTTCCAAAGATGAGCTTTTGAACCACTCCCAACACATCATGCGACATGTAACCTAGTCTACGGAGTTCTTCAAGGGACAGGACTGCAGAATGGGGGCTACCAAGAAAGTCAGAGCAGACATTTCAAGGATGGAAAAGTTGGTTTCTGTTCAGCTCTGTACACTCCCATTGCAGGCTGCAGATTTCTAAAGAGTCTCTTGGTGTTCAGCAACACAGATCAGGAGAATTGACAAATCACGAGCTATTCTGATATATATGTTTCTCAGAATGCTTACACCATCTCTTAGGAAATGTACTTCGGGGAAATTATTGTGATTGTGCAGTTAGAGGTCCCATGTCCCAAAGGTGCTTTATTCAAGAGGCAACTGGACTTTCTTTGATGACATTTTGTTTCTCATCCAAGAAGCTTCTCCAGCTCTAGGAAAAGTCAGGTCAGAAGCTTCTTGGATGAGAAGTGAAATGTCTTCAAAGAAAAACCAGAAAGTTCAGTTGCCTCTTGAAAAAAGCACCTTTGGGACAACCATGACCTGGATGACTGAGAATCTCTGTAGACATTTAGAGCTCGCTGTAAGAGTGATTTTTTTGGGGGGGGAGCTGAGGCAGCATGATTTATTTACACCTTTACTTTTAAAACTCTTTTAAAAAATTCCTCCATTTAATACAGGTAGTCTTCGACTTACGACCACAATTGAGCCCAACATTTTTGTTGTTAAGTGAAACATTTGTTAAGTGAATTCTGCCCCATTTTACAACTTTTCTTGCCACAGTTGTTAAGTGAATCACTGCAGTGGATAAGTTAGTAACCCGGTTGTTAAATGGACCTGGCTTCCCCATTGACTTTGCTTGTGAGAAGGTCGCAAAAGGGGATCGTGGGACACAGCAACGGTCATAAATGTGAACAAGTTGCCAAACATCCAAATTCTGATCGCGTGATCATAGGGATGCTGCAACGGTCGTAACTGAAAAATGATTCAGTGTTGTCGTAACTTTAAGCAGTCACTAAATGAACTTGTAAGTGGAGGACTGCCTATATATCAATGTTTGGGAAAAATTTCTCCAGCCTGGAGACAGAAATATATAGTATCTAAATTTGTTAAACATAAATCTTGCAGATCTGAGTACAATTTGCAGTTAGAGGAATAAGGATTGAGCTTCTAGGAGTCTCAGTGATATGACACTGAACAGTTCATTTCTCCTTTCTTTGTTTTGTTTGGTGGTAGGAGAAAAGATGGAAGAGATACCAAGAAGATAATGACACCTGTTTAAGGCAAAGCAATTCCATAATAAATGTCTGGGACAACATAGAATTTCCTATCTTTACACCTGAAATTGCTATGGATTTTTAGAGAGATCTAAATGTAGGAAAATTCATAAATTGATAGAATTCCCTCCAATGGCAGTATTATATTTACTGCGTGCTAAATACTTTTCACCTTTTACTGATATTTTTTATACAGAATCTTCCCTCAGATCCAATACATTGTTTTTTTATAATGGCTTATTGTTTTAAAGTGCACACTGACTAATGGTGATGGATCAATATTATATTGAACTTACTGTATATGAATGAGAGCATTGCCTTCCCTTCACAAACCCCCTTCCCCATTTTTGTTAGAGGTGAGCCCCAGTGAAGCACCAATTACAAAAGGTCTGGTATATATTTAAACCAGTGGCCCCCAATCTTTTGGGCACCAGGGACCGGTTCTGTGGAGAGAGATTTTTCCATGGACCGGAGGGGGCGTGCTTTCGCATACTGCCTGCATCCCACAGATGGGGCTTCGCTTGTTTACACAGCCCGGTTTCTGGCATGCCACAGCCCAGTGCCAGTCCACAGATCGGGGGGTTAGGGACCCCTGGTTTAAATCATGCAAGCCTGCAAATGCAAATGTGGATATAGAGCAGATGCCTAGAAATCATGGCAGATCCTGAATATGATACCTTCAGCTGCAGCAACATGCAAGGCTGTACGAGAGTCATAGTCTTTCTGTTCCATGTCCATAGCTGACAGGGCAAACCTAGAAGAAAGCCAAGAGGACAGAGGTAAATGTCAAAGAAGGAAATTTCACTTACATTCAAGATCTCTCTCCAGCACCATCTTTCCCTGGATAAGTAAAGTTATACCTCCGAAGGGCAGAGATATCTCCACTGTGAGCAGCAAACAGCAGATTCACAACAGTCTTGTTCTAAAAAAAAAGAAAGAAAGAAATATATCGAGCGCATCTGGCTTACATCTCTCATCTTCATGATTTTGGAGGCTTTTAAAAACTCTCATAATGAAATATTCCAAATATATACCCCAAAACAAAAATCTTCCACAACTGGGTTAGAATGTAGCTAAAAGAAGCTTCTAGTTGACTAGAATGGAGGAAAATTTAATAATTTTAAATTATTTTAATTGATGTTTGTCTTGTGCTTTTAATAGGCTGTATACCGCCCTGAGTCCTTTGGGAGAAGGGCGGTATAGAAATAAAATTATAATTATTATTATAATTATTATAATTATTATAATAATAATAATAATAATTATTATTATTATTATTATTATTATTTATTTATTTATTTATTTATTTAGATGTTTATTATTAAAACATCTTCATTGCAGGCAATGCTGGTGTTGTTTCCTCACAGTTTTCTTGTACACCATGACTGATCAACTGTTTGTGTGACTGAATTGGGGATGGAAAGGCATCCCTCCACATCCATTTCTTCAGCTTATTTGTAGCAGCAAGAGCACAGCAAAGGTTGCAAATCAGAGCTACATGAGACCCAGAGTGGGTGGTCATATTGGATAGATGGATGGATGGATGCATGGATAAATGAATTCTTGAAACCAAGAAGGCAAAGATCTCTCATGTTTTTAATATCTGTACAGTCCTCCTGAACTGAGAGCCTCACCTCTTTAAATTGGCAATAGCAATAGCAGTTAGACTTATATACCGCTTCACAGTGCTTTCCAGCCCTCTCTAAGCAGTCAGCATATTGCCCTCAACAATCTGGGTCCTCATTTTACCCACCTCGGAAGGATGGAAGGCTGAGTCAACCTTGAGCCAGTGAGAATTGAACTGCTGGCAGTCGGCAGAAATAGCCTGCAGTACTGCATTCTAACCACTGCACCATCACGGCTCAGAGCAATTCTTATTCTGTGTTCTCTAGGACTTCTGTGCATCTGTTTCTTGATAAAATCTCTCTTTTATATATCTTAAGCCCTGGGCCATTCACCTACCTCTGCTATTCTAACCCTCTTAAGTCCTCTGAGTTTCTCTTCCACTCTAGTCCACTTAAATCTGTAGTATCTTTCCAATAGAAGGGCCCTTGGTCTCTTACCCTAACTTCATCTCCTTCACGGCGTGGGTCCAACTTGCGGGTACAATGCAGCAAATTGTCATAGTTGTGAAAATTAAAGAGGGACACCAATTCCTGAAGAAATAACAGTCAAAAGACAAGAATAAGCATCAAAAAAGAATGAAATGAAAAGTTATAAAATAAACTGTAATGCTTTCTAGTAATTGGTTCAAAGAAGATGGAAGCAAGATCAGCATCCAAGACGCCACAGAACAGTGGTTCTTAAACTCTGGGCATTTTCCTCCAAGAGGCTAATTTGAACATATCCTGGGAATAATGAAACAATTTGTAGTTGCTTGTTAATGACTTGATGTTCCAGTTTGGAACTCCTGCTGCAAAATGCTTATGTAAAACAACAATCTGGGGATTTTTGTGTGTGTGTGTGAGGATAATGACATTTGAGACCAGGAAAAGGGGTAATTAGGTTAATTGGTTTAAGAATCATTGTGTTAGAAGATATTCCCTACTTACAAAAATCTCTACATTAGAAGATGAAGTCAGATCAGCACTCTGGTCATTACCAAGTCCAAAGACAATAGGAATTGATGAAATAGCTACAGATATGTGGCAAAGAACAGAAAAACAGTCAGTTCTAGTTTGGCTTTAACCAAACCAAGCCAGAGTGCCAAAGAATTGTGGGCTTTGAACTATGGTGCTGGAGAAGACTCCTGTGAGTCCCTTGGACTGCAAGGCGATCAAACTGGTTAGTTCTAGAGGAGATCAACCCTGGCTGTTCTTTAGAAGGCCAGATCCTGAAAATGAAACTCAAATAATTTGGCCACCTAATGAGAAGGAAGGTCTCACTGGAGAAGAGCCTAATGGTGGGAACGATTGAGGGCAAAAGAAGAATGGGATGACAGAGAATGAGATGGCTGGATGGAGTCACTGAAGCAGTAGGTGTGATCTTAAATGGACTCCAGAGGATGGTAGAGGACAGGAAGGCCTGGAGGAACGTTGTCCATGGGGTCGCGATGGGTCGGACACGACTTCGCAACTAACAACAACAACAAAAACCAAGCAAATCTGGAGTATGAGACCCTAGCCAACAGATTCAGTCTTCTAGTACCAATATCAAAGAAAGAAATAATAATATTAATATGTTTAATAATTAATATTAATAAAATGTGCAAACAATTGTCCAGGATCCTTTACTCCATATGTCAAAAAATAATGCTCAGGATCATCCAATGCAGTTTGGAGCCCCTTATGAAAAGGGAAATACCAGATGTTCAAGTTCATTTTAGAAGAAGCCAAGAATCAAGAGGCAATCTTGATCCTTGGGGAAAATTGTTGTAATGATTGTTAAAACTTTTTAAATTAAAAAAAAAAAAAAAAAGGTCGGCAGTTTGGCAGTTCGAATCACGTAACAGAATGAGCTCCCATTACTTGTCCCAGCTTCTGCCAACCTAGCAATCTGAAAGCACGTAAAAAATGCAAGTAGAAAAATAGGGACCACCTTGGTGGGAAGGTAACAGCGTTCCATGCACCTTAGGCATTTAGTCATGCTGGCCACATGACCACAGGGACATCTTCGGACAGCGCTGGCTCTTCGGCTTAGAAACGGAGATGAGCACCGCCCCCTAGAGTCAGGAACGATTAGCACGTATGTGCGAGGGGATCCTTTACCTTTATCTTTACCTTTACCTATGCAAAGACTTAGCCCCTTGAGAAATCCAGGATGCTGGAAAAAGTGAAAGAAAAGAAAAAGAAAAGCCAACCAGTAGCAAGGCTGATGGATTTGATTTCAGCAGCCATGAATGCATCACTGGAAGACCTGAAGGGCCATGTTGGGAACAGATCATCTTTGGAGAACTTTTATTATGTAGTTCCTAAGAATCAACATTAACTTGGTTATCAATATCAATATAATCAAGAATTTCAAAATTTGGCATAAAAAAGTGGGGGACTTCAGTGTTCAAGTGCTTCATGGTAAAACTATTTGTACTTTCTCGTAGATGTCAATTCTGATATGTTTTCATGGTTATGACATAAAATATAGCCCATAAATACCAGAAGCACATCAATTATGTTGTCATTTTCCGCCCAATTACTCTTCATTTAATATGGAGAGTGCTTTTCATTTCTATCTTTATTATAGTATTGCTCATGAGAAACGGAGACTGGGAGAGGGGCTTGCACAAAACCTCTGCCCACCCATCAATCCAGTTCTGTCACCTTTCCATCCATGGTTCTCACAGGCTCTTTTAAAAAGGCTCCTTCTGTCACGTCTGTAGTTTCATGAAACTTACCTGACAAAACCCAATTCCTTTCGTGCTGTTGCCAGCTTTATCCAGAGGGGGCGATAGACACATCACTCCCATAACATTGGGCACCACCAGCAGGATAGCTCCAGAGACTGCAGATTTGGCAGGAAGACCAACCTGGTAATGAGAAAGAGATTACATGAAGGATACGAGTCACATTTTAAGTATCTCAAAACTCTTCCTCCTATTCAGCGTTAAACCAAGTAAGTACAATTGAGGGACAAAGAGATAAAGTTGATCACTGCAAATGGCAAAGCAGATACCCAATTTGCAGTATATTCCAGTTGCATTATTAATTCTGGAAGCTCTTTGCAGGTGTAAATTGGGCTTTGCCTGGTGCAAAATTACATTTCATGCTGGGCTGGGAAAATGAAACTGGTGGCTATTACCATGCAGATGAAGCAGGAAAATAGCACTAGAGAGAAGCATTTCAGAAAGCAGAAGTGGATGTGTATACAAGTACTGTAACCACAATTCTGGTCTGCTACATGCACACCTATTTTTAAGAATGGTGCATTTCTGGTTGTATCTCCTTTGCAAAGCTCCATGCCAGGATGACTGAAAAGAGTGGATAGATGCTACAGAACATCTATCAAGAAACAAGTGCCCAAGAGAGGAGTTTGCATTGCATAAATCTAAGAAGTGCCCTATATTTTTCCAGAGAATGTCAGTGTACAGCTGTCAGAAATGAGCTGAGATCAACACAAGCCAAGAAGCATCCTACAACATCTCAAGCCTCAGCACATTACAGCAGCAAAGTGTCTCTCCCATCTGCCAAACCCCAAGGCTCCAGCATGGACATAAACCTCTCTAGACAAAATGTACCATCTCCTGATTATCTTGAATATTTGTGTGAGGCAAATAGAGTATGAGGCAGCTGGTTCAACCTTCCTAGATCTAATTCACACCTCATACTATGATATAATGTGGCTTATTTGGTTTTAGTGGACTGTGACATTTGAACTCATCAACTGTACAGGTAGTCCTCAACTTATGACTGCAATTGAGCCCCAAATTTCTTTTGCTAAGCGAGACAGTTGTTAAGTGAATTTTGCCCCATTTTATGACTTTTCTTGCCCCGGGTTGTTAAGTGAATCACTGCAGTTGTTTACTTAGTGACATGGTTGTTAAGTGAATCTGGCTTCCTATTGAGTTTGCTTGTCAGAAGGTCTCAAAAGGTGATGATATGATTATGGGACACTGCAATTGCCATAAATATGAATCAACTACCAAGCATGCAAATTTTGATCACATAACCATGGGGATGCTGCACCGGTCATAAATGTAAAAAACAGTCATAAGTCACTTTTTCCAGTGCTGTTGTAACTGTTGTGGTCTGCCAGCAGTCTGCGGAGCTGGCAGCGGAGTCGGACAGTGAGGAGGCTGGGGAGGAACATGGGCCAGTCCTGGAGTCTGGGGAAGTCAGAGGCAGAAATGGGGCAGGGCCATCTGGGAGTGATGTGCGGACTCCGGAACCCCCAGGGTCTGTTCCTAGTGTACGCATGTACAGATCTGCCAGAAGGCAAGAGCAGCTAAAGCAAAAGGGACGACTCAGGAGTAAAGCCAGGAGATGATTGGCCCTCCCATAAGGCTTAAAAGAGAAACAAAGGCTCTCAGGCCTTTTGCAGGAAAGCAGTGTTACTAACTCTGTTTCCAGTTGGCATCTCTTGTTTGTTTCTGAACTCCGTGGGGCTTTGCCAAGTAAGTCCTTTGGCAGGATGTCAAAGAAGATAAAGGTTGGTGATTATCCCGAAGGACTTCTTCTGAAGGACTTATTTTGCAACTAATTGGGACTCAGTTGGGAATGATCGTAACTCTCAGCTGTTACAATAAAATAGGTTTTTTTGGGACTAATTGTATATTGTAGTGACTCAGTAAGCCTAGGTCACAACAGTAACTTTGAACAGTCAATAAATGAATCGTTGCTAGTAGAGGTCTACCTCCATTTTGTTAAACAAGGCAATCCATGGCATAGGCCTCAGCATGGTACAGGAACTTTCAAAAGTGTTGTTTCCGCTTCATTTCCATCTACATATGGTTATTTTTTTGGTCATGTGATGCAGCACCTCATTCACCTGACAGTTTCAATGGATAGGAATGGCCTTTAGAAGAGAATCCCCACTGAGACCAGCTGTCATGAAAATAGTCCTACCCTCTTTCTGGATGCTCACTCCTGTGTCTTCTTCCAACCCCACCCAAAACAGAGCAGAAACTTACATGGAAGGCAAACTGCCCCGAGAAGTCGTACATGCCACAAGAATGCATGAGGCTAAGGGTGTTGCGGATGGCTTCATCACTGAGGACACACTCGCCTGTGATAGGGCAGATGCCACCATTGGCAAGTGTGGCTGCCATGACACTTCCAGACTCACAAGTCACTTCAACAGAACACAACTTCAAAAGGGGAAAAAAAGATTAAAAAAAGAGAGAGAGAAATTAATTTTAATAACATCTTAGTAATAAGCCCAGAAATCATTCCTAACTTCTGCTTGGAGTGAAAATTCAGGGTCTATACACAAATGTGGTTTAAACACAAAGAAAACACCTGATATAACATTTCTTGAAAAACGAAGGATTGCATATGTGAATTCTGATTATGTGAAGGTTTCTTTTCAGGTGAAAAAGTAACATGTAATGGAACAAAGAATAAGTGTCAACTTGCGAAGCCTTCCCGACCTGCCCTCGAGTTGCCATAGGTAGGGGGATGGGGAATCAAGCCTCGCAGCTGTATTGAGGAGTTTGCACCTCAGTCAAAACAAAGCACATTCCAGCCAGCAAATGTCAAGGCCATCTTCACGGAGATCCAGAGTGGCCAGAGGGAGTGACTTCTACAACCTGCGAAATTGCTTCGTTGGAGAATGTGACTGATGACACACCTTAGGGGGAGGGGGAAACAGGGTCAGAGCCAAGAGGCGAATTAAGTGAGGTCAGAGTTGGCTTCACTTGGATTGTGCTGACATGACGCTCTTAATAAATAACTGGATTTCTTTTGAACCTCATCTTGAGATTCATGTTTTAATTAGGGCATTGGTTGGAACCCTGACAATAAGGTTCTGGCCAAATATCCAAAATCAACCTTTTTGACCTGATACCTGTCATATGCATTAATGTAAATTGTCAGTGCCAAGAATCTGCTAACTAGGGATGATTGTAGCATATTGCAGTTTGAAGACACTGGCCTGTGGGATATTAATTTAGAGCAGGGGTGGGGAACCATGGCCTTTTTATGACTTGTGCACTGCAATTCCCAGAATTCTGGGAGTTGAAGTCCACAAGTCATAAAAGAGTCATAGTTCCCCACCTCTGATCTAGAGGAATAGGTTTGGAAGGAGGAGGGAAAAAAAGCAACAAGCACCAAACTGCAATCCAGCCCTGTAATATTTACTTTAAAAAAAAAAAAGATTCATCGTGAAATGGTTTATTTTTTTTCTCCTTCAAACTCAAAAGGGTTGTTTCAGAGGTGAAATGCTACCGGTTCGGCCCAGTTCAGCCGAACTGGTAGCAATGGCAGCGGGTGGTTCGGAGAACCGGTAGTGATGGCAGCACAAGGCTTCGCCCACCCACCCGTTCATCAGGAAGTAACCTGTTTTTTACCCTCTGCGCATGCGCAGAAGGGTTTGCACATGCACAGAGGGTCTGTGCATGCATGTGATGCACGCGCGCGAGAGCACTTCCAAACCGGTAGGGAAGGTAAGTAGATTTCACCCTTGGGTTGTTTTGGACCCAACACACACTGCAGTTCAAAATGCAACTTACCTGGAAATATAAGTCAAGAGCTGCCATCATGTCTGCACCACGTGGAAAGCACTGCCAAGTAGGGAATCAAAGACAATAAAGTTGGGTCAGATCTTGGCAAAATGGATCTTTCGCAGCATGAGGGGTTTCTTTCAACGAACAACACCGTGTTTATCCTGATCTGCTAGAAAGCCCAGGGTTTCTCTCCCCCCCCTTCCGTCTCGTTACCTTTTTGTCTTTGAGATAGTAGCCAATGGCATAATTCCGATCTCCTGTTTCTTTTTCTGACTGAAACCTGCAAAGAAATGTGCACAGATCCTCATTTCTCCCAGCCTCTGGATGTCTCCATTTGGAGAACTATCATTCAGATGAAACCTGACATACTGCTAGGCACTCTAACCCAGGGGTGAAATGCTCCTGGTTCGGACTGGATCGCCCAATCCGGTAGCGATGGCGGCAGGTGGTTCAGAGAACCGGTAGCAAAAATCCCCCCCCTCCACCATGCCCAGTTGAGCCGCACGATCATCAGAGGCTTTTTTTTTTTACTTTTAAAAGCATTTTTTCTACAACCTCTTCCGATGAAAAAATGCTTTTAAAAGTAAAAAAAAAAAGCCTCTGATGATTGCGCGACTCAGCTGGGATCATCTGAGGCTTTTCAAAGCAATTTTTCTGCAACCTCTTGGCCGAAGAGGTGGTAAAAAAAATGCTTTGAAAAGTCTCTGACAATCCCAGCTGAGTTCCCTGATCGGCAGAGAGGCATTTCTCTGACGATCCCAGCTGAGTTCCCTGATCGGCAGAGAGGCATTTTTAAAACAGCCTCTCTGACGATCCCTGCTGAGTTCCTGATTGGCAGAGAGGCTTTTCAAAGCATTAGAAAAAATCCTTTGAAAAGTTTTTTTTTAAAAAAAGTTGGCCGCGCCCACCCAGTCACATTACCCCCCCAAGCCACGCCCACAGAACCAGTAGTAACAGATTTTACATTTCACCCCTGTTCTAACCGCAAGGCCCCCCCACACACACATACACACAATGTATGTGCCTTACGTGGTATTGCTGAATCCCACATATTCGTTTCCAGCCATCTTCTTCAAATAATCCACCACCTAGAACAGAAACAAAAAAAAACCTGCATCCGGAAGGGACCTCTTCTATGTTCCAGCTCTGGATTTTTCCAGTCTTCCCGCAACCCTTCTTTCTTTTTCTGTTGACGGTCATTTATTTGTATAGCTAACTGCAGTATTTTTAATTTCATGTAACAGTTCGGTACCCATTTTGTTGATTATCACCCATCCTTCAAAATAATAAGAAAAAAAAACCAAGCACATTAAAAAAAAAAATTGGGATTGCAAAAGGGATGCTGGACAATTGAATGCTCCTGCAGGCTGCAGTTTCCCCGTCCTAATTGAATCTATTAGAAATAATGCTTGCCACTTTGTCATTTAGAAAGCATGCCCTTGTGTTCTGCATGTTTTTTTTTTTACCCTTCATTGCTAAATACTCTAGGAGATTTTTAAACAAATGACTAAACCAAATGGCAGGATTGCACTGCAAGATAAATGACTCGATCAGCCAGCGTTGCCAGAAAATCAATTTCTCCTCCAACCCTGAGAAAGGGCACTGTGGAGTTTTCCAGCAGGGAAATGAAGATCACACTCACGTAGTCAAACTTCTCTGCTTTATTGCAGCCCATCTGATGAGGAAGAGGAAGGGGAAAAAAAGAGAGAAAAGAATCAAATGCCTTTTGAGACACAATTTAATCTTGACAAATGTAAGCATTTGTTAGAAAGTTTAGAAATACATTATAGGTTTAGGAATGCATTCTAAAACTTCTAGTTAAGATAGCTACAGGGGTCCCAGATCAGTTCTTGAAATGGATAGAACAGCTTTTCAATCTCGTGTAGAACTTTAAGGACATGGAGGAATATTTTGGCTTTGAGAGAGTATTGGGTAGATGAGAAGAGGCTTGACTTCCATATGCATCTGCCCTATGAAACAAGGGATCCCTCAACTTTGGCCAAGAGTGAGAAAGTAAGACAGTTGCAACTCTGACAAAGGAAGAAAACCATAATGGGAAGATCATTGTAGTGACAGCATGTTACATAGTCTATTGGTAATAGCAGCCATGACTAGAATGCAGCAAACACACCCAAATATTCTATAATCCCTCACCCTGGAGATAAATTGGAACCAGAATCCATCTTTGTAGGACAATATCAAAACTGATCCTTATGGAATAGTCCAAATATTGTTTCTGGGATAGGGGAAGTGGAAGCGACAATGTGTGCATTGCAATATAGACTTTGCACCTTATGTAGAACCCCTTATATGGCAATGGGAGTTATTCACACAGTATGCTAAGTCATAGTTTACCAAAGACAGCAGCTAATGGGTTCAAGCTACATGCTAAGCCAAAACCAAACAAACCACATTCCAGCATTTGTGAAGTGAGTCCAGAGATGATAATGTCTTTAATCTGAGCTGTATCCACTGTCAGGGGACTCCAGCCCATGTCTAATACCAGTACTAGAGCCGAAGAAACTTTTACCTTGATAAGAGAGCTCACCACAATGGCTCCTGCATTCACCATAGGGTTGTGTGGAATCCCTGAATGCAAAGGAATGGATTAAAACAGGAGTCTTTTAATTCTGCATCCTCATCCTCCTCAATTAAGATTTTTTTTAACTCACTGGCCTTCCCAATATAGTGGAATCTGTGTTGATTGGGAGGTGGAACTGCCAATCAGAACATGGTCATATAGGGCACCTGCTTTCTGTTTACATTCTAGAAATGTAAAGAGAGAAACTGAGGAATCATGGATTTGGGAGGTGTAAGTGGATGGGCAAATCTGAGGAAGGCTGAGAGTTTTAGCCCTGGAAATCCTCCATCTGTCAGGGAGACAGGATTAGGACTCTATTTAGTGCTAGGTAAGCAAGTCATGACTGGCTATAACTATACTATAGGAGTATAGTATACTATACTATAGGGGTGTCAAAATGGATTTCTTCGAGGGCCGGATCAGCACTGTACTTCTCCGCGGGCCGGCCAGCGGGGGGACACAGGACAGATGCCTCCTGCAGCACGCTGCTGGCCAAAATGGGGTGCGGGAGGGCGCATATGCCCACCCCCGCGCTCCATTTTGGCCAGCAGAATGCTATAGGAGTCAGTCTAGGCCGAAAACAGGGGAAGGGGGGAGGGAAACACGCAGCGCCCCCCAAGTCCCGTTCTGGTTGCCAGAGGCACCGCGGGCTGGTCCTTTGCTATTTCCAGGCTGGCCCCACGGGCTAGATTTAAGCGGATTTGAGTTTGACAGCCCTGCTATAGAATCAGGTTAACTTCTTTAATAAAACCATTTAAAGTTATTTAATGTACGTTCATTCATTTCTTTATGTTGAAGTTAGCCAAGTAACAGTTGTCCGTTATCTTCCCACATGTTCCACTTTAGTTATGTTACCTCAGAAATAAATGAGAAATAAAGCTGCCTGGAGTCTTTCTAGTTTGACAGCCTTATAAATCTAAGAAAAGAAAAAGAGAATTTCTAAACCTCAGCAGGGTTATCATGGCAGGAAGACAAATAGATCTTGCAGCGATCTTGCACAGTTTATGGGATGCACTTTAAAATTCATTAATTTTACATTTTAAAATTAACGAAAAGAAAAGGATACTCTCATCAAGAGGTCCAATTGGTGCCAGCTTTTTGTTGTTTTTAACGTTTTAATTGGTTGAGTTTTATAGCTTTGAAAGTGATTTTATATGTTTTTTTAAATTTTTCATTGGGAGCTGTCCAGAATTGGTTGAAAGATGGGAGACTTTCTTAATGTTTTTAAATAAATACGATGGAACCACAATTCCCAAATCCTCACTCAGTACTGACCAACTTTTCTGGCTGAACTTTTTAGCATCTATAGAAGCCACTGATCTGCAGGACCTCTGAGTTGGGGAAAAGCAGTGATTAGAATGCAGTATTGCAAGCTGACTCTGCCCACAGCCAGTTCGATCCTGACTGGCTCAAGGTTGACTCAACCTTCCATCCTTTCGAGGCCAATAAAATGATTGTTGGGGGCAATATATCGACTCTATAAACCGTTAGAGAATGCTGTAAAACACTATAAAGTAGTATGTAAGTCTAAATGCTATTGCTAGTGCTATTGCTTGCTGTGGTCTTATTAACAGTATAACAAGAACTATTGTTTTCATTTTTCATGTGATCTTAAATTATTGTCTCTTCATATGCCATTATGGAGGCTTTACTGAAAAAGAAAAAAATTCACAATTACTTTAATGAAGGATGCATATTTTTTCACAGGTTCGTTAAATACCATTCACTTACTATTCAAATCATAATAAAAAGTAGGACCAATGAACTGTTAAACATCTACCCAATGATCAAACACATAGCAAAATAAACATAAGATGTTTGTAAGCTGTTCTCATTTCCCCCTTGCATATGTTCTATGAATTTTGCATGGAATTTAAAGTGGATTGAAAGAGGAAAAGTTTTAATGGGATAGATAAAGATTCAAGGATAAGTTCTCCTTCTTATTTTTCATGGGAATATTTACGGGACCGCCTACTACCACCAATAGCCTCCCACCGGCCAGTACGCTCTCATAGAGAGGGACTCCTCCGGGTGCCATCAGCCAAACAGTGTCGACTGGCGGCCCCTAGGGGGAGAGCCTTCTCTGTGGGGGCACCTACCATCTGGAATGAGCTCCCCCCGGAGATACGGAGGATCCCGGATCTGCGCTCCTTCCGCCGTGCTGTGAAGACCTTTTTATTCCATCAAGCGGGCTTGGCCTGATCTCTTCCCTTTTTAAAATATGTAAATTTTAATCTGTTTTTAAATTATTGGGGTATTTTAATTTGTCTGGGCCAAAAAGTTTAATTTGATTTTATCGGGTTTTTAAATTTTGTGTATTTATGTATTTTATTGTTGGCTGTTCACCGCCCTGAGTCCTTCGGGAGTAGGGCGGTATACAAATAAAATAAAATAAAATAAAATATTAATAGGGAAAATAGAGATATTTTATGACCAGCATTTCCATACCACCTTTCAGTATACCAGGACTTGTACAATGTTACCATCCTGGAAGGTTAAAACAAGTATTTCACACACATTACACAATAGCAAACTGGCTTATCTTTCAACAGCAGTTGCACCGCGGCTCACACATTGGAGGTATACAGATGTTTTCATCACAACTGGAATGGTCTCATTCACACAGTAAGGTTTTTAGTTGTCAAAGGGGCTGACAAAGGACAACACCTGTGTTACAACTGGGTGTGCAAATATGGTCTGGGTGGTCCATATTTGGGTGGCCTCCTGTTCCTCAGCACACTGGGGTTCCTTTCCACTACTCACCTTCTTCGTTGAGAGAGAGTTTGTCATAACGCAGCCCACTGGGCTCTTTGCCCACATATTGATGGACTCTCTCTGTGCCCAATTCACTGACAGCAACAGCATATTTTAAGGGCTTGACACATGACTGCAGGCAGAAGGGAATCTTAGTGTGGCCCATGGAATGCCTAGGGAGATGGGGGGGGAGAGAAATAATGTCAGCCCTCTTATACTCGGTGACAAAGACAGTGACCTGATGCTTGTGCAAAGGTTGGAATGCTGTTCCAAAAACATTGGAACTTGTCTTATACAGGTACTTACAACAGTTCATTTAGTGACTATTCAAAGTTACAACGGCACCGAAAAAAGTGACTTATGACTGTTATTCACACTTACAACCATTGCAGCATCCCCATGGTCACAAGATCAAAACTTGGATGCTTGACAACTGGTTCCTATTAATGACAATTGCAATGTCCCAGGGGTGATCACCTTTTGCAACCTTCTGACAAGCAAAGTCAATGAGGAAGGCAGATTCACCTAACAATTGTTTTACTAATTTAACAACTGCAGCAATTCACTTAATTGGGGCAAGAAAGGTGGGGCAAAACTCACTTAATAAATATCTCACTTAGGAACAGAAATGTGGGGCCCAATTGGGCCTGATTATAAGTCAAGGACTACCTGTTTTACAATCCCACTGAGTTTGCGCTGATGGTTAAAACGCCAGGTTAAAAACCACAAGATTGTTTTCAGTCCCCATCAGGCAGGAAAGCTGACTTGGTGACTTTGGGCCAGTCACTCTCTCTAAGCCCAACTCACCTCGCCGAGTTATTGTTTTGGGGAAAATAATTTTTCCCTATTTTTTTTTTTTAATTTGATTTATATGCTGCCCTTCTCCGGAGACTCAGGGCGGCTTACAATGCGTTAAGCAATAGCCTTCATCCTTTTGTATATTTATACAAAGTCAGCTTATTGCCCCCACAAACTGGGTCCTCAATTTACCTACCTTAGAAAGGATGGAAGGCTGAGTCAACCTTGAGCCTTGGCGAGATTCGAACCTGCAGTAATTGCAGGCAGCTGGTCTTAATAACCAGCTTAATAACAGGGTGCCTTAAACCACTGTACTACCAAGGCTCTTCTGTATTCTGTAATGTTCAACCCCCCCCTTTTTTTTGCATCTCGTTTCTTTATACCTACCGTTGTCCGTCCACTGTGCAGAGAGATACACCCCAGATGTCTGGATTATATCTCGCCATTTGTGGAATGTAATTTGCTACCTATATAAAGGGAAAGAGAAATTGTTCAGATGTGGGACAAGCCCTAGGGAAACAGTCAGTGGTGGTATTCAGCCGGTTTTATCCGGTTTGGGCGAAGCGGTGGTGGCGGCAGGAGGCGCCACCCACTCACCCGGACATCACCACGTCCCATTTTTGACGCTCTGAGTATACGTGGAAGGTCCTGCGCATGCGTGCGCACGCTCACATTTGCAAACCAGTTGCAAAGGTAAGTGAATACCACCCTGGAAACAGTCATTAACCCTTTGCAAGCCCATCTAACGGAGGGCAGTGGAGGAAGTTTCCCTCGGCCTCCGTTCTACACCAGTGAGATTGTGGGATTAAACTGAAACTCAGAGAAGCAGCCTGGATGAGTGCACTACCGAGCAAAATCAGCCGCAAAGGAAGAAATCCTAGACTGCTGCATACATTTGTGGTTTTATTTTACCATGATAATAGTCCTTGACTTACAACCATTTGTAGTGACTGATGTTACAACAGCACTGAAAAAGGTTTTCCAGGGATTTTAGTAAGCATTAAGGGTACTTAAGGGGAGATATTCAAATTCCCTCTTCCTACGCAGATTGCATAAGACAACCTCTCTCATTAATTCTAAGGCCGGACAGCCACTCTCTTTGCTTTCTTATCTGCCACACTCATATTCTACTCAAGCACTCGGGAGCTTTCCATACAGATTTTTTTTTGGAAGATAACAGAGGGATTATATCATTTATCCTCTGCTATGTGCAAAAAGGGGATGTGGTGGCTCAGTGGCTAAGACGCTGAGTTTGTCGATCGAAAGGTCGGCAGTTCAGCAGTTTGATTCCCTAATGCCGCATAATGGGATGAGTTCCCGTGACTTGTCCCTGCTTCTGCCAACCTAGCAGTTCGAAAGCATGTAAAAAATGCAAGTAGCAAAATAGGGGCCACCTTTGGTGGGAAGGTAACAGCGTTCCGTGGGCCTTTGGCGTTTAGTCATGCCAGCCACATGACCACGGAGACGTCTTTGGACAGCGCTGGCTCTTCGGGTTTGAAACGGAGAGCACCGCCCCATAGAGTCAGGAACAACTAGCACATATGTTCAGGGGGAACCTTTACTTATATGCAATCGGATCTTTTTACCTTGCCCTCCTTAAGTCCTTTGGTACGCTCAAAGATCTGCTCCACGTGTGATGTAAACTCCTCAAAGTCAGGGATGACAAATTTCTTCCGAAAAGCCTGGGTCAAGAGAACTATATTGCTACTCACACACCTGAAAGTGAAAATTGTAGATGAAATATTGAATGGCACATAGGAGAAGAAAGTAAGATGTCTTATTTAGTGACCAAGCAGACATGAAAATTGTAATTACTATTTTATCTTCTACTTCTTTGCCTAGAAAAGCAGCTAACTTGACAATACCAACCAAACAACTCAGAAGTATGTTTTCTCTTTTCTTGCACTTTGAACATCTAAACTTAACAAGCCAATTTTTTTTAAAAAAAAGCTTCCAGTTTTGAAATGCTAACTGATTTATCTCCTCTCCTATCTTTATAATTCTTTTTTGAGATAATCTCCTGCAGTTTCTAGCTGCCACATGTGAAGTCCAGAGCAAAAAGAAGACACAGAATAAACCTTCCATTCCCATATATTGGTTGAATTGTATATTGCACTGTGGTATGGTTTACTTAGTTGTAGTTTGTTTGCTAGACCACAGTTATCTGGGTTCACACAATGTACTATGTTGTGATTGACAAAACTTCCCGGTTTGGGTTCGTCCAACAAAGAGCCCAATCGAAAAATACCACATGAAAACTCAGTATGTTGTTTGAATGCAGCTACCATAAAATCAGATGTTAGGAATGGAGTAGAAATTCAGCATGTCCCAATAAAGACTTGAAGTTTTTTTCAAAATAATTGGACATTTTTTAATATTCTAAAGCTATCCCTATTACATATTCGCTGTTCCCGAACAGGCAAATTTCACTACTGTAGCATGTATATTGCTTAACCAAAGTAGTGCTCATATTTTTAGGCTATGAAAAATTGTGGTGAGCTGAGAGGAAGAAGATAGAATGAAGGAGGAAGAGATGCAAACAGGAAATATGTGAGACTAGGATTGCAGAAGGAATTCTGTGAATTGGAGTGCGATTGTTTAGAGAACAAAATTTGTCTGCAACATGACGAACAAAAACTACATTTGCCTGCAGAAGCTGATATGCTTTGTTAAACAAACATAGATTCAGGGCTCTAGTTGCAAAGGAACAGCCACAACACCACTGGGGACACTTCAATGTAATTCCTACCTCCGAAAAAGTTCTCGACTCAGCATTCCTTCACTGCTAGCTCCTTGAGTTGCAGTCCGCATCAGATTCATGCAGTCGCGAAGACGTGGATCTGAGGTCCAAAGACCAGTGCACTGTAAGGCCTGAATTAAGAACCAGTCATGGATGAATATACGGCAAGATAGCAATACCACTTAGACTTATATATCGCTTTACAGTGCTTTACAGCCCTCTCTGAGCAGTTTACAGAGTCAGCCTATTGCCCCCAACAATCTAGGTCCTAATTTTACCCACCTTGGAAAGATGGAAGGCCGAGTCAACCTTGAGCATGGTGAGATTTGAACTGCCAAATTGCAGGCAACTGGCAGTCAGCAAAAGTACCCTGCAATACTGCACTCTAACCACTGCGCCACCACAGCTCAAGATGAGGGTTGCTAGAACTGGATGCAGTACCCAGTACTTTAGAACTCAGCAGTCTGAAGGGTGAATTCTTAATTACACTTTGGTACATGCATATATATGCTTTTACATGTATGGAAAACTTCCACATGCTGTTTTTCAGAGGGTGGACGGATCTCTACTAAGAGGAAATTGAAGGCTCCAATGAAAAATTATGCACATTGCCCAGAAAAATTAATTGTGAGAATAAATTGACCGATAGGTAAAACAGTACCCATAGATACTCTATTTCTACCGGTATTAGAATAGCAGATGTTATTGTAATCTTTCTTTCCTATGTGGTAGAAATTGTGACAGTAGCATCATAGTAGCATCACAGACAAGGCTCTTTGCAAAGGATGTCCCCAGTCTTCCAGCATAAAGGCTTTCTCAGAGTGTCTGATGTCATACTGGATGCTCCATCATTTCAAGCCATGAGATCTATTTTATTTTCTGATGGTGCGGAATTTGGGAGGCATTACCCAGGAGTTGTGCGCATCCTTAAGCTCTACCCATTTTATCACATAATTTTATACATAATTTAGGTTCACAGGAATTCTATATATGACACTATCATATGATATTTGTTCTGTGCTTATCTAGTAAACAGAACCTTTCTCTTATATTCACCAAAATTTGTGATTCAAAAGCATTACCAATCATATAATACAATCATACAATTGTGAGGAGCAAAATGTAGCTGCATGTATGTAATGATGCAATTAGCAATGCACAACAAAAAAAAAACATATCCATTACTTAGATTAATGGAAAGTTATAGGTTTCACATCCAATTTAAAGGAAAATTCGCACTGAAAAGATTCATTTGTATTAGAAATCAGGATAGCAGTCCAACATTCCACCCAAGCAATCCTAGCCATTCTTAAGGGCATATCTTACAGTGGTAAATTTATGAACAGAGATGCTTTCCTGTCCTTCGGCTATTGTGTAGAAGAGCAGATCACTGAGACGTGGCAGCATCCCATTCACGGAGAGGTCCCTGGAGAGAGATGGGAACAACATATGTATTGTTATCGTCCATCCTCCATCATCATCATCATCATCATCATCATCATCATCATCATCATCATCCCGTAGCAAGATGTAGCCTTCTTCATTGAAGATTATAGATCATAATCTACCATGGTGGGCCAATGCGGTTTGATAGATTTTTTTTTTCCAATTTCCCAGTCTAGGGCTTAGAAAATGTGACTGGCCAAAGTCACCCAGCCAGCTTCCATGCCTAAAGGAGAATTACTACAGGTCTCTCTGCTCCTATGTACCAAAATTAATTAATTCCTGGGAAGAGAAGTATCTCCTAAAAGAAAAGAATATGGGCAAATTAAAGCCATGCTACCAAGAGAGACAGGAAACATTTTCCCCACAGGAAAACATAATTCCACACTCAATTTATTCTCCTCATTAGCTCCTACGGGCCTTCTTCTCAGTACTCAGACAATAGGAAAAGTAGATTTCCCCTCAGTGAAGTCGGAGAGTCAGCAGCATCAGGGATGGTTTAGAGCAGGGTTGATGGGACTGTACAAGGGATCAATGTTGTTGTTATTTGTAATAGCATTAAAATAGCATTTATTACATTATTTTCATATAGTGAAAAACATTCATTATAGGTTTGATAAACACCTGAAACTTCATGGGGTTGAAGTTAACTATGTAGGCTACTTATCAGGGCCCTTTTGACTCAGGAATTCTGGGAGTCTATGCTGTTCCAAATATTGAAATGCCTCATAATCAGGATTTTCTGTGTAATAATACTGGGGTAACTCTCAGTCTAGCCATTTAGCTTCCATTCTCTCTATTGCCATGGGCCATGGGAACACAGAACAGACAACAAGATAGTTAAGGGAGGAAGGAGGGCTGGCACAGAAGAGATTCTTGAATCCCAGGGAAGCATTAGAAAGAGAGTAATTCTGCCTTAATTACACTAGATATAAGTTGTGGAGAAAAATTACTGTGCTATGCCTTTAAGATTCTGTTGTATTGCTATACAAACAATATTTTTTTTTAAAAAAAAAAGCCCAAGTCTTTTTGTTTCCCATGGAACTTGACATCTACCTACAAAACTCTAAACTGGCTTTTGCTTTTTAGTCATAAAGGTGGATTCAAAAATATCCCTGTATTTTTTTTATTCCTAAAAAATCCATTATATCCCATTAAAATTCATGTTTAATAATTCTTTGGTACTAAGTGACATGGCCCGTTGTTTTTATCTTCTCCATTTTTATTAATTTATTTCTGGCAAGTATTTGATATAGGAAATTTGATTATTACCTATATAACACATTCAGTTCCAGCATTTTATTTAATATACAAAAATATGCAAGAATCGGGAAAAGAAGAAAAGAAGAATTAATTAAGCCTTAGAGATAGTTGAGATATAAATTGTACAGTGGATAATAATTCATTATGTTCCAATGCTATTATTTTATTATTTATTATTTAAAATTAGTCTGAAAGAAAAATAATTTCTAGATGAATGAATTTAAAACAAAAAAAAAGCCTATTTAAAATTATTTTCAGAAATGCATGGGTTCTAACAAGGAAAGAAGCACGGCACTGTAATATTGATACAATGGATACTAATCAATATACAATCAGGTAGCTGCACATTGTATTGCACATCAAATATGAAAAAAGGAAGACAAAATATCAAGAATAACAGCCTTGCACTACAAGTGGCAAAAGAAAGATTATGTTTGAAGCAAGCCTCCAATATTTCTCAACAACTTCAAATGTTATTTGAGTGTTAGAAAAATGCATTCAAAAGTAAAATGCGTATTTCTATGTTTTAACCTACAAAGTCAAATTACGATCATGCATCCTACAGAAACATAATCACCGTCATTTAGTACTTGGTGGAGATTTTATGCCCTGGAAAAAAATCCCCCAAAGTATTAACCATGCCTGATATATTTTAGATCATAAAATAGCACCAAGGCTCAGTCTGTTTCTCCTTTTCCATAGTTGCATTTTGGATCAAAAGCAATTCCGCTGCTGAGGGGATGTTTCTATGGCAGCCAGCATTTCTTCTGGGAACAGACTCAGTTCTTACCCCCCAGACTGGCAGAATTGAAGATGCTTAGCGTGTCATAGAACATGAAATGCCAAAAATCAATAGGCACCAACTAAAAGACAGTGACAATGACTTCTGTATATTTAAATAATTTAGTCAGAAATCTTAATGTTTCTTTTGTGTCTTGGACTGAAAACTCTTGGATTGTGGCTGCACAGGCAGTGTGAAGCTGTAGTTGCATTTAAAAAAAAGAAAAAAAAGAATAACTGAATTAAACAAATTGAAAGGCTTTGGGCAAGGTTTCCTTTTCAACCCCATCTCCTTTGCCTCTCTACTTCATTTATTTGACTGAACAAATAAATAAAGCTGGAGTAAAGATAGTCCTCAACTTACGACCACAATTGAGCCCAAAATTATGTTGTTAAGTGAGACATTTATTAAGTGAGTTTTGTCCCATTTTATGACCTTTCTCGCCACAGCTGTTAAGTGAATCACTGCAGTTGATAAGTTAGCAACCCGGCTGTTAAGTGAATCTGGATTCCCCATTGACTTTTATTGTCAGAAAGCCGCAAAAGGTGATCACACGACCCCATAACACAACAACGGTCATAAGCATGAATCAATTGCCAAGCATCTGAATTTTGATCACATGACCATGGGGATGCTGCAAAGGTGGTAACTGTGAAAAACGCTCACAACGGGACACTTTTTTCAGTGCCGTTGTAACTTTCAATGGTCACTAAGCAAACTGTTACACGTTGAGGACTACCTGTAGCAAGAAAGCCGCATTTGTCCCTGGGTGAAAAAGTCTGGGCTCTGGATCTATCACATGGAGAAAGTTGGCTAGTACAAGGCAAGGAGCTGCACTCCAAGGGTTGGAAGTAACGTGATCTTGCACATTTCGCCATTGGGAATGGCCAGAGACACACACACACACCCCCAATTTAAGATTCCCCCAAACTACAGCGTGACAAGCGATAGCCCTTACTGATCAGTGAGGCGCTGTTTAGGCGGCTGCGGCTGCTGATGACGGCCATTCATCACCGCCTCTCTCCCTCCGGTGGAGTAGGGGGCTCTGCCCAAAGCCACGGGAAGGACCAGCTGCTCCAAACCGTGTCCCGACGACCCTCTTCTCCAGTGGCGCCGGATCTCCCGAGGCTGCAGCGCTCCTGTCACGATCCTGAGAGCGCCCATGACTGCAGCCGATGCCTCCGGCTCTCCAGATCGGGAACGCACCTTGAAGGTACGGGGAGGAAGCGCCAAAGGACAAGGCTGCCGCCCCCCGCGGCTCCTGCCCCTTTAAAAGAAAAACATCAGGCCGGTGGTTTCCAAAAGCGGAGGGAGGGGCGAGGAGGAACTCCAGCCAATCAGCTAAACAACGATTTTAAGGAACTATAGAAAACCAATGAGGAATGGCGGGAGGAAGGGGCTTTGCATGGGCTTTGCATTTCCTATCCTCCAAAGGTAGGGTGGGAAAATGCAGACAATGCTTCTCGGGTCTCTAAAGGCAGCCCCTCTTTCAGTGACCCGAGGGGACGATATGATATAGGCATCTTTCATTGGCTTTGTAGTACTCACTGTTTGGGATAGCGAGGTACTGCTAACACGATCCTTCCTTTGGAATGTTAGGGGGTAGAGATGCAGTGATTGAAATGTATGGGGATATAAAACTTCTGTACTTTTTAGACTTTTTTTTTTTAAACCCTGCTTTCATTGTTTTTATAAATAACTCCAGGTGGGGAACTTACCTAATATTCCTTCCCCCTCGTATTTTTCCCAAAATAGCAGGTAAATTGGGCTGAGAGTGAGTGACTGGCCCAAAGTCATCTAGCTGGCTTTACAGGTTTGAAGCAGTGGTGAAATCCATTTTTTTTTTACTACCAGTTCTGGGGGTGTGGCTTGGTGGGCGTGGCAGGGGAAGGATACTGCAAAATCTCCATTCCTATCCCACTCCAGAGGAAGGATACTGCAAAATCCCCATTCCCTCCCTACTTCTGGGGGAAGGATATCGCAAAATCTCCATTCCCACCCCACTCTGTGGCCAGCCAGAGGTGTTATTTGCCAGTTCTCCAAATTACTCAAAATTTCCACTACCGGTTCTCCAGAACCTGTCAGAACCTGCTGGATTTCACCCGTGGTTTGAAGGTCTCTTCATTGAAGGCTATGGACTGCACTCCGTTGTGCTGGTTCTGTATGAGTTGATAGATGTTTTTCGGCTTCCTAGTCTATGGCTGAGAGAAAAGAATTGTCTCCAAATCATCCAGATGGTTGCTGTCCCTAAGGGAGGAATGGAAGCTGTCTTTCCTTGTTCCTAATCCAACACCTTAACCACAGCACCCTATTGGTTTTTAATATAAATTTGCAGATGTGTTAATATGTGTATGTTAAGCATGGTTATGGAATTAACATTTTCCGAGGTTCATGTGACGCAAACAACCCTATCCTAACCATATGGCCTCATTTATACAACACTCATGACTGTAATATGATGGACAAAAGTGTCGTTCATTATGTGATAGGAAACCTGTTCCCATCTGTCATTTGTTCTATTGAATATGTTGACATTCTTAGATTATTAGGTTCATGCATTGCAGTGAAACATGGATTATTAGAGAATGTTCCATGTTGTGCTCATTTCAACATATTTTCTGAATGTGGCCAATGGTTTCTTGAATAATCTTGATATCTAGCTTCTTCTCTTGAATTAAACTCATGCTATAACATATGTTTCATTGTTCTATCAAGTTTTTAAAAAGTCAATTTTTCTTCCAGTGCTTCCAAGCTATATATATCTTGCATTTTCCTAGAATCTCAAATAATGTTTCCTTTTATACATGAGAACAAAATGATAGTCCCCTACCCCCCCCCCCACTGCCAAGGGAGTAGAATGAAGTCTAAAATAAAGACATGCTACCTTAGAGTTATTTAATATATTGTGGAGGGAGGTTTTTTATTTTATTCAGAAATATTTTATTTTTTAAATTGTTTTATTACATTATAGAATACAAATAGCCAAGTAAAGTGGTACATTTACTTGTAATGATTAAACTGTCTTTCAAAATAGAAATTGTATATCAATGTTAAATAAGATTTCTGAGATGTAAATGGAACAGTACTGCTCAAATTATACAGTTGATGCTGAATATTATAAGTTGCAAATTACGCTGAATTATTTTGTAATATGAACTTTTAGATCTTTGAGGTTAAAATAATAATAACTTTATTGTCATTGTACGGATATACATACATACAATAGAGTATTGTAGTATACAATATTGTATGAGTATACCCATACAATAAAATTCACTTAACACCCAAAGACCAGGTCTAACACACATAACAATCCCCAAACACACTCCCACCCACCACAAATCCCCCACTCCTAAACCACCCAAACATCCACACAACAGACCAAGTAATGCTGTCCAACAGCTCACTGATGGTGGCCCTTTAGTTCATTGTTGAGTGCAATTATAGCTCTGGGATAAAAACTATTCAGAAAACGTGTGGTCCGAGTTTTAATTGTTCTGTATCTTCTGCCAGAAGTCTCCTCTGTAGTTTTAATTACATAAACTAAAAGAAAGAAAAGAGAAGAAAAGGGGGATGGAATGCTGAGACAGACGCTCACAGCTTCAGTGATAAACTTTGCCCAACATTGGAAGAAAGATACAACACCTCTGATATCCAATTGTGAATAAAATGTGGAGAACATATGGCAATGAAACTACAGATAGTCCTTGACTTACAGCCATTCATTTAGTGGTTGTTCAGCACTGAAAAAAATGACTTATGATTGGTCCTAATTTTTATAATCATCGCAGCCTCATATCATCTGATCAAAATTCAGGGACTTGGCAACCAGCATGTATTTACAATGGTTGCAGAATCCTGGGGTCAATTGTTACCATTTGTTATTTTCCCAGATGGCTTCTGACAAGTAAAGTCAATGAGGGAAGCCAGATATGTTTAATTACCCCCTCATTTGCATAACCCATGCAGTGATTTACTTAACAACCATGGCAAAAGTGTAACATTGAGCATGATTCACTTAACAACTGCCTTGCTTATCAACAGAAATTATGGTCACAATTGTGCTGGTAAGCCAAGGACTACTTGCACAGCATATGTTCACAATAGAAGCTTAACCAAATTCAAGAAAGAATAGCTTCTATTCATACAACCCATCATGCAGCAAAGCAAATACAAACATTTACATTTTGATTTTTAAGAGGGCTTAAATATTTATAAACACTGCAAATCTTTTGGATGCAGAGAAGAGGGAAGTTAGAGACTAAATATCCACTTTTTTTTTTTAAACTTACAGTATTGAATATTCAGTAGAGGTGGTTCTTGACTTACAACAGTTCATTTAATGACCGTTCAAAGTTACAACGGCACTGAAAAAAAGTGACTTGCAAATGTTGCAGTATCCCCATGGTCACATGATCAAAATTCAGACACTTGGCAATTGATTCATATTCATAGCATCCCGGGGTCATGTGATCCCCTTTTGCGACCTTCTGACAAGCAAAGCTCCGAGCTCCCCCCGGAAATACGGAGGATCCAAGACTTACGCATCTTCCGCCGCACCCTAAAAACGTTTTTATTCCAACAGGCTGGTCTGGCCTAACTCTCCCTTTTAAATTGGCTTTTAAATTGGGTTTTAAATGTTTTTTAGATAAATTGGATGTTTTTTAATTTGTTTTTTTGAGTTTAAATTATTTAATCTGTTTTTAATAGTTTTTTAACTTTTGTATGTCTCTGTATTTTATTTTGGCTGTTCACCGCCCTGAGTCCTTCGGGAGTAGGGCGGTATACAAATATGATAAATAAATAAATAAATAAATAAAATCAATGGGGAAGCCAGATTCACTTAACACCTGTGTTACTAACTTAACAACTGCAGTGATTCACTTAACAACTCTGGCAAGAAAGGTCATAAAGCGGGGCAAACCTCGCTTAACAAATGTCTCACTTAATAACATAAATTTTGGGCTCAGTTGTCATAAGTCAAGGACTACCTATATTGATAACAAAAGACAAGTGAGAGGACAGTTGGGGTGAGGGGTTGGATTTAAAAAGTAACACAAAATCTTGCAGTTGGTTGTATTCAAAATGGCCATTTCTGAAAAGATAATTCTGTCTGAATGGTGTCATTTCCAATACTATGTTAAGTTGCTTTAAGCTTCTTACTCTTAAACAGTTATTCAGATCATAAAAATTGGGGGCAACAACATAGTCTAATGAGATTCAACCAGTGTTTATAGCTTTACAATCATTCAGAAAAAAAAAACCCTTTGATTCCTTTCTCTGGCCTTAGGGAGGCATACTGTGTAAAAACTTAGTATCTCCTCACAGTCGTTTCATTCATCAAATGAATGGATTTTTTTCCTGTCATTGCCTCTGAGAAAACCATGTTAGCTGTGGGGAAGACCAAAAACAGAAACAGGGATGACCTAATGTAAAAATGGTTGCAACCCAACTGCCTCCTTTTCATCCCCACTGCCACAACATATTGTCTTTTTTAAATCCTTTTTCCCCCTCTTTTCCCATCTCTTATTTCCCTGCTTCCTTTTGGCTGCCAGAGACCAAAGTCACTTGGGCTCAAGGACTGATTTCATCCCCACAACTTCAAATGTTATTTGAGTGTGACATAGTTTTGTAATTAGGATTAATTGCTAATCCCTCCTCTGATTTAAAGAGTTGTACCCGGCATTATAGATATACTTTTCACATTGTGAGCTTTACAGGTAGTCCTCGATTTACAACCACAGTTAGGACTAGAATTTTGGTTCCTAAATGATGCAATTGTTAAGCGAGGCATCACATTACCAAACCCAATTGTACAGCAATGTTAATGTGGTTGTAAAGTGAGTCATGTGGTTAAGGGAATCACATGACTGTTAAGAGAATCCAGCTTCCCCAATTGACTTTGTTGGAAGCTAGGCGGGAAAGTTGCAATCACATAACCATAAGTTGCTGCATGGTGATTTTGTGACTGTAGGGTGGGGTAATGGTTGTATCTTCAAGGACAGGTCAGTTTTTCTAAAGTTGTAACTTTTAGCCATTGTTAAATGAATAGTAGTCAAGGATTACCTGTATTTAATCATGGTTCTTTCAATCCACAATTGGTTGGGTTCACACAATCTGCTAAAGGTAAAACAAAGTAAACCATATTTAAACTTAGCATGTATTTTAATAATCTTGGCCACACACCCATTTTCTCTTTCCATTTGCTCCTGTTCTTGGCTGGTTTCAAAAAACTGTTCTTGAGTTCTATTTTACTCAAGTTGTCTGAATTAACATAATAAACAAAATG